GGATACTCATCGTGTCGATAGCACGCAGGCACAGCCGCAGGAGGAGACATCTACTGGCGCTACCTCCAGTTCCGGAAAACAGGCAGGATCTGATGAACAAACAGTTGCCGATGAGCAGGCCTTAGGTCGAGGCAGGCGTGAGAAATTTCCCTCCATTAAGTTACGTGATTATGCTACGCATACAGTACTTAAAAAGAGTCCATCTCCTATTTCACCCACGCCACAGCTTTCCTCAGGTACTCCTTTTCCTATAGCACACTATGTTAACTGTGACAAATTTTCTCAGCGCCACCGAGATTTTCTTGCAGCAGTTACTGCAGGTTGTGAGCCAAAATCTTTTAAGGAAGCTATACAAGATGCAGGTTGGCGTCATGCTATGCACTCTGAGATCCGCGCTCTTGAGGATAATGCTACTTGGACCATGGAACCTCTTCCCCCCGGGAAAAGTGCATTGGGTTGTCGTTGGGTGTACAAAATAAAGTACCACTCTGATGGGAGCATTGAACGTCTCAAGGCTCGTTTGGTGGTTTTTGGCAATCATCAAGTTGAGGGTCTCGATTACAACGAGACATTCGCACCTGTCGCCAAGATGGTGACCGTTCGTGCTTTCTTAGCCGTTGCAGCATCAAAGAATTGGGAGCTGCATCAGATGGATGTCCATAATGATTTTTTACATGGTGATCTTGATGAGGAAGTTTATATGAAACCTCCTCCCGGCTTCGCGACATCGGATCCTACTTTGGTCTGTCGTCTTCGTAAGTCCTTATATGGCTTAAAACAGGCACCTCGCTGTTGGTTTGCCAAAATGGTTGTTGCACTAAAGGGATATGGATTTCTCCAATCCTATGCTGATTATTCTTTATTTACTCGTTCTCGGGGTGATATCCAGTTAAATGTTTTGGTTTACGTTGATGATTTGATTATTTCCGGGAATAATTCTGTGGCGATCCAACATTTTAAACAGTATCTGGGTGATTGCTTCCATATGAAGGACCTTGGTGTTTTAAAATATTTTCTTGGTATCGAGGTGGCACGTAGTTCTTCCGGTTTATTTCTTAGCCAGCGGAAGTATACTCTGGATATTATTTCTGAAACTGGTCTTCTTGGTGCTTGACCAGCTTCCTTTCCTCTCGAGCAGAATCACTCGCTTGCTTGTTCGAAAGGAGCGGTGCTTGAGGACCCTGAACCTTATCGGCGTCTTCTAGGGCGTCTTATTTATTTAGCTGTCACACGACCTGACCTGGCATATTCTGTACATGTTCTCTCTCAGTTTCTGCAGGCCCCGCGTCAAGATCATTGGGATGCGGCCTTACGTGTTGTACGTTATTTGAAAGGTACTCCAGGCCAGGGCATACTTCTTCGCGCGGATAGTGATTTATCTCTCAAAGGTTGGTGTGACTCCGATTGGGCCGCATGCCCACTCACACGGCGTTCTCTATCTGGCTGGCTCGTGTTTCTTGGGCAGTCACCAATTTCCTGGCGGACTAAAAAACAACATACGGTCTCTCGTTCCTCTGCCGAGGCTGAGTATCGGTCTATGGCGGGCCTTACATGTGAGCTTAAGTGGTTGAAGGCTTTGTTACTCAGTTTGGGTATTCATCACCCTCACGCTATTCCTATGTTTTGTGATAGTCAATCTGCCTTATATATTGCTAAAAATCCGGTGTTCCATGAACGCACTAAACATATTGAGGTGGAGTGTCATTTTGTTCGTGACGCTATTCAGGAGGGTCTCATCTCCCCGTCTTATGTTCCTACTACTGTTCAGCTTGCAGATATTTTCACAAAAGCTTTGGGGAAATCTCAATTTCATTTTCTTCGTGGCAAGTTGGGCACTTGCGATCCTCATGCTCCAACTTGAGAGGGGGTATTGGCATATATGGCACGTTGTTATATATGGAATGTATATATTATATTTAAGAGTGATTATATTTTGATAGGAAAGAATCTTGGTGATTGGATTACGTTAGGATTGTTACCTAACTTAATTTCCTAGCCATGTAAACCTCTTGTATATTTATATCCCTAATGATGAATAACAAAGACACGGATTTCACCTGCCAATATTTACAGAGCTCCATAAAAGAAGGAGTGCCTCCCAAGACTTACTTTGTTAATTTTTTATTCTAAAATGCTTGAGAGCTCTTGAGAGCTTGCTGACTAGGACTCCCAACTAGAAGCTTGTTGCACTTGCTCTTACATAAAAACTGCGGACTCCACTTTTGACATGTGAAGCCGTATTTTATGAAAATAAAAAAAAAATAACAAAAAATAAATAATCATTAAAAAAAGAGTAGAGCTGCAGGGCTATGGATCGTATTCCCAGAAAAGAGTTACATGTCGCTATCTCATTGACGCATTGCCCCGGCCAACAGCGGAAACCATGAGGCATGAGACGCTTGTTTTAGATTCGGGCCCAGCCAAATATTTTTACTTGGAAAATTTACTGGTTAACCCTTTCTCATTCTAGAACGTTTCTAAAGCCCTAACCTTTGCTCGCACAAGTCCAAAACTGCTGAAGCAGTTCCTTTTTTTACTCGATAGATTTACCTTACATGTTACCTTTCTTCTTTTTATCCCCTCAAAGTTTTTCCGTATTGTATCTTACCAAAAACTATTACAATTTAAGGTCTTCCTTTGAGATGGGTCGCTTAAATTATGTTTATCTAAAATATCAGAAAGATGAATTTATAAAACAAGTCCTTCAAATCCTTTGAGTTACACTATCATAAGTTTCCCTCCAATTAAAATGCAGGCAATATGGTATCACGTGATATCACTGTACCAAGGGAACCTAACCCAATCCTCTCTATGTTCATGTAATGGTGAAAATAACCAATATTGACTACTTTTATTAAAAAAAGACAAACGAAAAAATGAAAAAACAAGAGGTATCCGCGTTCCACATTTTTGTTTTCCTTAGAAACAATGTTCAAAAAAAGTTCACGTCTGTAAAAGAATTGGACCCTAAAATGTGATCTAAAGAAAGTTGAGTGTCAAGACGTTTAGTGATATCTTCAACAAAGTTCTAAAGGAACTCAACCCAAACCTAACCCCTGTTGCCCATAATAGAATACTCAAATACTATCCTTGACATTAGCAATAAGATCTATACTTTGGCATATTTACTTTTGACGATGATGTTGATTTTACTGATGACTATAACTATTCTGCAAAGTTTTTTTCTACAAGTTGATGTGGAGCAAGTTGTGGAATAAATTAGTGATAATTGGCTCCATGACTACTTAATGATAGATATTAAGAAAGATATATTTGATACTCCAACCAATGATACAATTATGTACTTTTTCAAAAACTAGAAGCTCATCAAGGATGATTGCCAAATTTTACTCAGTTATAATGACACCATTTTCAAGAAACCCTGGATCCGACACTCTCTCTATTATGCTCTTGTTCCAACCGCGTTTGACATTATTGGACACTATTGGTTACCTTTGGAGATCGACAGTGACTACCGACTATCTCCAGCCATCAATTGCTATATCTGATAGTCGCCTTTAGCGTACTTAATAAATAGCAGTCACCGGTTCTAATTATTAGAATCATCACCTGATGCGTATCTCCGCTAACTATCGTGCTTGTTGTCACCCTTGGAGCGAGAAGATTTAAAAAAAAAAGTTAACTCAATATGATTATTTTGATAGATAATTAATCCAATCTAAATAGATATTAACAAAAACTAATTACATGAACCAATGTGGTGTAACTTAAAGGACTTGGAGGGCTTATTTTAAAATAAACTTGATTTGGAAGGCTAATTCAATGAGAACCCCTCAATTTAAGCATACGCATCTTTATTGTGCACCAATGACTTGCAATTTGTATTTTCAAACTAAGAAAGGTACAATATCATCATGTTAGAAAAACAAAAACAAAATATTCATGGCAAGAGTACAAGTAAAGTAACCCCTTTTAGTATAGAAATCACACAGGGGGGCCAATGCATAATTTTCCTTTTTAAAACCAGAAGAAAAGGAAAGCAAGAAAGAGACCTTTGAATGGTAATTGTTTTTATTTAGGCTCGTGCGTGGATTCAGGTTCATTGATTCACAGGTTCATGCACCTTCTTCTCTCTCCCTGCGCCCCTCCCTCTCTCCAATTAAAACCCAACACCTCGGAAAAAGATATTTGAACCCCACTCTCCCTTGTCCCAAATCTTTCTACGCCCATCTCTGAGTCTTGGGTCCTCCGCAAGATTTGATCTTGATTGGTGCTCTGAAGCTGGCCATGGATTGATAGATTGAGGTCAGCTTCCTTTCTAGCTGCTCTTTGTTCAATCTGTTTGGTGATTATTCTGTGATGCAGAAACAAGTGAATGAGTAGAAGATTGGGTGATTATGTGCTTTTTTTTTAATTTTGTTTTCTAACGTGGAAATGGTTAATTATATATATAATTGGATCTATGAAAGTAGAACTATGATGGGTTTTGGGCACTATATGTCCTCGAGTAAAGTTGGTTAACCGAATATGATTCTCTTTGTTTACTTGGCTTATTTTTATCAGTAAGATATGAATGTTATTTTCAATAGAAAATCTTGTAATCCAGGTAAGTTGGTGTTCTTGGTTGTTTTTATCCTGATGGCCACAAATCTTTTATACAGAAAGTTAGTCTCATTCGGTATTGTTAGGAATCGAAACTCCCGCAAGCAAGAAAGAAACAGAGAGACAGGAAAAGCAATCAGAAAAGACATGATTTTTTGAATTTTTACGTGGTTCGACAAATTACCTGTGTCACAGGATTTCTTTCGTTTTGATGTTACAATTACAAGAGTGAGTGTGCATACACATAGATAGTGGTGGAAGCAGAAATTTTTTTTTATAGGGTCGGCATGGAAAAGAGGGACTAATTTGTAAATTTTAAATGCAAATTGTTTGAAAATTCAAGGTCGGCAAAATAATTATAACTGTAGGGGGCAAACTGTAATTTTAGAAGAGTTTAAATTGCAAATTCTAGATTGGTATGCATCCGCCCCTGGCTACAGGCACAATCCGATCAGACACGCTTTCCCCCTCTTGTGATATTAACATTTTCTTTTAGGACTAAGCACAATGTTCCTGAATTTCTACCAAAGTTATTGCAATGACATTATTTCATGGACTTCATCTGCTGACCATCTTCCTTCATTAAAGTCATCGCAAAGACATTAATACTTGCATGATGTTGTGGCCATACTTTTGGCAACATTTATTCATATGATTATTTACAAACGCGAAATTTGAGGTTTGATTCCTAGGGATGATGGGGATTTATGATGGTTAGTCCCCGAACATTGAAGATCTTGCGGATGTTGGCAGGTTATTGCAAGCAAATGATGCTATTTGTACCAAGTTTTGTTTACAAGGGATGGTGCCCAAAGTTTTGGGCCGATGATTTCTATTGGATGATCAAATTCAAATCGAAGGATGAGCAGTTGTTTTTATTAGGATTTTTAGATCTCTCAAAAACCCCGAAAAACCACCAAATACAGCAAATAGAATCACACAAAATTTAACGTGTAAAACCCTCAACAAGGAAAAATCACGGGATTAAAATCAATCTACTATCACCTCCAAATTACAATCTTATACACGGATAAAAACTGTCAAACCCCCTGTCCCCTTTTCTCTACTCTTTTTTTTCTCCAACAATAGAATAATATATATAGGGAAACCAAAACCCTATCTTTAGCCTAACTTCCTAATTAGAATAGGATTCAAACTCCTAATCATGATTAAACACAGTCTCCTAATCATGATAGATCTCTAACTCTATATAATTCTCATGAAGTTATACAAAGAATCAAAAACACAATCCTAACTTGGAGTTTGAGTAGATACCCAACATATCCTCCCTCGACGAAAAATCTCCAAGTGTCTCAACGGCTTCAGAAAAACTCACTCTCTTCTTTTTGTTATTCACCTCTTCCTTGTGGACAAAACTCTGAGAAGAGTCATCTACACCATTAATAGATCGCACATCTAAATAGCAAATATGATTGTTATTCTTCCTCCCTCGTAAAATTAAATCATCATCTTTATACATTTTACACCACTCTCCTTCACCCATATACTTGTACCCACGCTATACCATCTCACCCGACGAAATTAAATTAGCATCACATGACGTCACATATCTCACATTATGAAGAATTCTGACCTTCCCAGTGTGAATCTTGAGGCGAACACTTTCAACACCTTCAACTTTCATCTTCTCATTATTTCTAACAATCACGTCATTAAATTCTTCATCTGTCTTTAATGTGTCAAAATAATTTTTGTTGTTGTAAACATGCATAGAGGCTACAGAATCTAACACTCAAGTGTTACTCACATCAGTACATGTACTCTGTATTAACAACACCACATCTTCATCACACACAACTACCGATGAGTCTGTCTTTTTCCTACTTTCTTAAATCTTTATCTGTCTAATACTCTTCAAATCATCATGTTAGAAGCGTGAAGAGCTGGGAAACGAACGTAGGGGCCACAAACTACATGAATCCATGTGAATAGCTAAGGAACGCAACATGGAAAAGGGGGGGGGTCACCATGAGTTCGGGAGTTTAGCTAAGAACCATTAGTTTTTTGCGTGAAGAGATCACCCAAGCGACAGGCCCACCCGATGTGACCTGACTTTAGGTTTATAAATACCTCAGTGTTTTCTTTCCTAGGGTTTGGTGCAAATTTGAGGGGTGGGATAGCGTGCAAAGGACGGCTGCAGAGGTGAAAAGGGCAGTGCGGGAGAACAATTGCAGACGGCTGGGTTTGTGCAAAGTGGGGTTCGGTACAGGGAGAAAAGTCGGCTTGTTTTTCTTCTTTTGGCAGCGCGCAGGTGCAGAAAGAGGGTTTCTGTTTTGGCGACTGTAGCAGGGGAAATCCTAAGACTTTTTGAGAGAGAAAAAGTATTTGGAGGCTGACCTTTTCTTGAGAAGAAAAGCAAGGAGCCTATTTGAGGGAGAGAGAAAAAGTATTTGGAGGCTGACCTTTTCTTGAGAAGAAAAGCAAGGAGCCTATTTGAGGGTTTAGATTGTGAGAGTTCTTTTCTTGAGAAGAAAAGCAAGGAGCCTATTTGAGGGTTTAGATTGTGAGAGTTGTAAACCTATTTGTATTCTTTTTCTTTCTAATAGTAGATCCCTCCTCCTTGCCCCGTGAACGTAGGCAGTTTGCCGAATCACGTAAAATTGATTTGTTTGAGTTTGTGGTCATTGTAATAGTTTTTAGGATCCCTCGACGCGCAGTCCTAGAGCTAACGAGAGGAAGAGCTAATATCCCACTTTGATGGGATATTAGGCTTTAGATTCTTGTTCCTTTTGAGAAACAAGAATTCTTATTGATCTTTCTCTCGTATTGTGCACTAAAAACTCTGCCGAAATTTTCGTTGCGCATAACAAGTGGTATCAGAGCCCAGATTCCAGATCTAGGGTTTGATTGGAGGAGTAGATCAATTTAGAGGCTCGTCCAGAGCTTCGTTTGGTGATAAAGGTGGGATCTTTTGGTTAAAGACTCTATCTTTTCAGTTTTGGATCTATTCTTCGTTGGTTGGTGCGTTGAGAAAGATGTCGGGGAAAGAAGGTGCTTCGGGTATCGAGGGTGGTGCTTCTGGCGCGAAGACCATTCAGAGTTTGAATATCCACTCTATGAAGATAAATATGAAGAAATTTAATGGCACAAACAACTTTGGATTATGGAGATGCGAGGTTTTGGATGCGCTGAACGCGCAGAATTTGGAGGATACCTTGGAGTTAGATGGCAAGCCAAATGAGATTGAAGAGAATGTTTGGAAGAAGATGAATCGAACGGCGTATGGTGTGATTAGATCTTGTTTGACTCAAGATCTAAAATATGATGTGATGAATGAGACTTCTGCAAAGAAGATTTGGGAGATTCTCGAAAGCAAGTATCTGACAAAGAGTGTTGAGAACCGCTTGCATTTGAAGAGGAGACTTTATCGTTTCCAGTTGAAGAAGGGAACCTCAATTAGTGATCACATGAACACCTACACAAAGCTTTTTACGGATTTGACGAATGTGGATGTCATAATTGAAGATGATGACAAGGTGTTGCTATTGCTGAGTTCCTTGCCTGACGAGGAATATGAGACCTTCGTTCTTACTCTGATTAATGGGAAGGCGTCACTTTCGTATAGTGAAGTCACTGCTGCACTTGTGAATTATCAGCTTTAAAAGAAGGATAAGGAGGCTTCAGTTGAGCTGGTAGCAGAGGCGTTGGTCGCAAGAGGGAAGAATCCGAACCGGAAGAATTGGAAGTCACAGTTTAGAGTAGGACATCCTACAATTAGAAAAGATCAATGTACTTGGTGCAAGGAGACTGGTCATTGGAAGAAAGACTGTCCAAAGCTCGACGAATGGATGAAGAATAAGCAGAAGGGAAAAGGGAAGCAACCATCATCAGAAACAAACATTATATCGGATGATAATAATTCTGACTCTTCTATTTATTCGCTTTCTATCAGTCCTACAGATAGCTATTCGGAGGAATCTAAATGGATGTTGGATAGTGGTGCGACCTATCATGTGTGCCCTAGAAGGAAATGGTTCTCCAGTTTTGAGAAGCTGGATAGTGGTGTGGTGTACATGGCTGATAACCGTGCATGTCAGATCCTTGGGATAGGAAGAATTTGCATAAAGATGTTTGACGGGATTGTTAGAGAGTTAAACGATGTGAGATATGTTCCTTCTTTGAGGAAGAACTTGATCTCGATTGGAGCTTTGGTTGGAGAGGGTCTGAAGGTTCGTGTTGAGGACATGGTTCTTAAGATTGTGGAAGACTCTCAGATTGTGATGAAGGGCGTCAGGAGGAATAACATGTATTACTTGACTGGAGGTATAATGGCAGGTGGAGAACTGACGACTTCTATTGATTCGACTAGACTACGGCATTTGGGGCTTAGTCATTCCAGTATTGATTCCTCGCATAAATTGAAAGAGGGTGTGAAGACCTGCAGTTTGAAGTCCAGTAAACATGATGTGAGCAAGAAGACCAAGGTGAAGTTTGGCACCTCTATTCACCGTGCTAAAGGTCGTTCTGGAGGAGTTCACGTGGATGTTTCGGGGCCTTCCAAGGGAGCATCATTGGGAGGTAATAGAAGTTTGGTTTTCTTTGTTGGTGACTGTCTAGGCGTGTTTGGATTGCAACCAAATCCCCTATGAATAAAGTCCTAGTAGTCTCTAACAGTTTGAAGAAGTGTGAGATGGACAGAAAGATGAAGGTACTTCATTCTGATTTTGATGGGAGGTACAAGATGGACATGTTTCTGTATTGGAGCTGAGCTCACGGCATTTTGAGACACTTCGTTGGAAAGAAAATCTTGGAGCAACCAGATAGGGTGGCAAATTTGGAGAACCGAGCCTTGCTGGAGGAGGATCGGTGTTTGTGGTCGAGCAATGGTTTGCAGAAGAGGTTCTGGACTGAGGATTTGACATATTTGAGTCATCCTATTAAAGAGTTGTCAACTGTTGTGATTAGAGGTAAAACTCCATTGGAAGATAGGTCTGGTAGTGTTACTTTGGTTGAGGCTTCGATGAGGAAGCCAATTGACTCTCAGCAGGTGAAGAGTTTTGGACAGACCTTAGAGGTATCGCAGCGGGTAGAGATGAATGCTACTCCACATCGGGTGAAGATTACTCCAGATCATACTGTATTGTTTGGGATTCCAGCTGAGGTGACACAGCTTGGGGATCAATTGGTTTTGGATGCAGATGATAAGTTGAGTTATGATGCGAGTGCAGCTGGCAGACATAGTTTGGATATGACCAGTGGTTCACCTCAGGTGGAGGTGTTTGAGGTCATTGGAGGGGCTATCGGCCGCAGAGTTGATGATATTGGAGAAGGGTTGCGAACTCTTCTAGTTGATTGAGGTCGTTCGCAACCATTTGGGTGAACTACGTAAGGCTTGATTCCTTGGGCAAGAGGATACGTAGGCAGTCTTTATGATGCAGCCGGTTTGGATTTTGATGGAGGATGAGATCGATTTGGTGAGTTGATACCGATATTTGGAGAGTGCTTACATTCTCATTTGAGTTCTTGACTTGTTATGGATTGAGTCCGTTGTCGTGAATCGTTCACTTCGTACTGGACGCAACAAGTGAGGCATTTGTTTTGGTTGGTGTCGGTTCAGTTTTGGAAAAACTTCACCGAGGTGGAGAATTGTTGGAGACGTGAAGAGCTGGGAAACATAAGTAGGGGCCACAAACTACATGAATCCATGTGAATAGCTAAGGAACGCAGCATGGAAAAGGGGGGGCCACCATGAGTTCGGGAGTTTGGCTAAGAACCATCAGTTTTTTGCGTGAAGAGATCACCCAAGCGACAGGCCCACCCGATGTGGCCCGACTTTAAGTTTATAAATACCTCAATGTTTTCTTTCCTAGGGTTTGGTGCAAATTTGAGGGATGGGATGGCGTGCAAAGGACGGCTGCAGAGGTGAAAAGGGCAGTGTGGGAGAACAATTACAGACGGCTGGGTTTGTGCAAAGTGGGGTTCGGTACAGGGAGAAAAGTCGGCTTGTTTTTCTTCTTTTGGCAGCGCGTAGGTGAAAAAAAGAGGGTTTCTGTTTTGGCGACTGCAGCAGGGGAAATCCTAGGGCCTTTTGAGAGAGAAAAAGTATTTGGAGGCTGACCTTTTCTTGAGAAGAAAAGCAAGGAGCCTATTTGAGGGTTTAGATTGTGAGAGTTGTAAACCTATTTGTGTTCTTTTTCTTTCTAATAGTAGATCCCCCCTCATTGTCCCGTGAACGTAGGTAGTTTGTCGAACCACGTAAAATTGGTTTGTTTAAGTTTGTGGCCATTGTAATAGTTTTTAGGATCCCTCGACACGTAGTCCTAGAGCTGACGAGAGGAAGAGCTAATATCCCATTTTGATGGGATATTAGGCTTCAGATTCTTGTGACGAGAGGAAGAGCTAATATCCCATTTTGATGGGATATTAGGCTTCAGATTCTTGTTCCCTTTGAGAAATAAGAATTCTTATTGATCTTTCTCTTATTAGGCTTCAGATTCTTGTTCCCTTTGAGAAATAAGAATTCTTATTGATCTTTCTCTCTTATTGTGCATCAGAAACTCTGTCGAAATTTTCGCTGCGCACAACACATCACCATTCTGGGAACATCTGAATTGAATGTGACCTTTCTCTCCGCAATAATAGCACTCCCTTTCTTTATCGTCTCGGGTCCGAGATTTTGATTTTCCTCGATAACTGTCACATCTCTCCTTACTCCTCACTCGATTAGAACATTTAAAAGCTAGTGCACTCTCACCATCATTAGATGCGCTCTTCTTTCCCATCATTCTTTTATTCTCACGTAGGAGTGTTGTCATATCGTCAAACTTTAAAGTTTGCTTCTCTGTAATTATCGTCTGAACTAACGGCTTGTACGACTTCGACAAGGAAGACAATAGGAGTAGCGCTTGCTCTTCTTCTTTAATCACCTCATCAATATTCATAAGTTGGCAAACTAGCAGATTAAAGGCATTGATATGGTCTTGAATTGTAGTACATTCTTCCATCTTCAACGAATAAAGCTCCATCCTTAAACATAATCAGTCAGTCATCGACTTCAACGCATAAATCTCCTTGAGCCTTTTCCATAGCCCCCTTGGTATGGTCTTTTGCATAACATTGTACTTGATCTTGGGGGCGAGTGCCAAACGAATTGTGCTAACCGTCCTCTTTTGTATAGAACTCCATTCATCATCATTCAATCCTTCTGGTTTTTTCTCCTCTAAAGCTTGATCAACACCCTACTGTACAAGAATATCTTAAACTGTGCACTGTTATACTGTAAAATTTGCCTTATCGTTGATTAGCGGAATATCGAACTTCGAACCCGAAGAAGTCATCATCCTCTAACCACAATCAAAATTCAAATCAGTCACTGTAGATATTAAATTTAATAAAATCGACATTAAAAACAAACTCAGCACGTCGAAAAACCCTAGGAACGACTCCTGGATCACCAAAATCCGCCTTCAAATTCTCGATCAAAAGACAAATCAATCTCAACCGTTGGATCTGTGTGAACAGTATCCGACAGCTGCTACAGTATTTGCTACAGAGCCTTTCCTCTTTTTTCCCTCTGATGTCGATCATCGCGCTTCGACCGCTGACACCTTCACCAATCGCACACCGGTCAAATCTCCACGAACCGTCAAGCCCCGCTCTGATACCACTTATTAGGATTTTAGATCTCGTAAAAACCCTAAAAAATCATCAAACGCAGCAAATAGAATCACACAAGATTTAACATGGAAAACCCTCAACATGAAAAAGCCATAGGATTTAAATCAATTTACTATCACTTCCAAATTATAATCTTTTGCAGGGATAAAGACTGTCAAACTCTCTTTCTTCTTCTCTCTACTCTTTTTTTTTCCTCCAACAATAGAAGAATTTATATAGGAAAACTAAAACCATATCTCTAGCCTAACTTCCTAATTAGAATAAGATTCAAATTCTTAATCATGATGAAACTCAGTCTCCTAATCATGATAGATCTCTAATCCTATCTAATTCTCATAAAGTTATACAAATAATCAAAAACACAATCCTAACTTAGAGTTTGAGTTGATACCCAACAGTTTTGCTATCCTACATCGAAAAGGATGATAAGGATTGATGGACTACAATAAAAGTTGGGGTCAATAGCTAGTTGGTTAAGCTTTTGGATGAAATTTATTCTTAGTCTGGTTCATTTTAGTCCCCATGAGATCTTAGTTCGCGGCGACACCTCTGAATAATCTGAACATATAAAATTCTTCCGCTTTTAGTTGGTTTTTGTAGATTATTTACTGTGAAGTGCAACATCAAGCATCTGTCTATTTCCCATAAAAACTTTTCTATCTTCTCCTGTGTCTTGGCATTCTAGTCGATGAGAAGACTTTGCTCTTTAATTGCAGGTTCTCGTGATATTCAACAATTCAAATCAAAATGTCTCCAAGACACGTCTCTATGGTGGAGCGTAGGACTTCTGTTGATGTGGTAGAAGAATGTTCTGATGAAAGAGTACATGACAGATTGTGGCCACTTGATGATATTGATCCAAAGAACGCAAAATTTCCTTGCTGCATAGTTTGGACACCACTTCCTATTGTTTCTTGGCTAGCTCCTTATATTGGCCATTTAGGAATATGCCGAGAGGACGGAGCAGTCCTAGATTTTGCGGGTTCAAATTTTGTGGGTGTAGATAATTTTTCTTACGGAGCTGTTGCCAGATATCTTCAACTAGATCGAGAACAGGTATTACAGTATCCACTCGTTGCAGTCAATTTATTTTTTAAATATTTGAAACTAAACGGAGAGAAAATGGACATCTTGTAGTTTCCTTGTCTTCACGTCTAAGATGTTAATAAGTTTGCTGGTGCATTCTGTTGCATACGGTGATATTTTCATGTGCTTTACATGATTATGAGAAAGTAAATATTTTCTTTGGATTCAAAAATAGCATTGAGGTCTCTTGTATTTGAGGGGAACATGACTCCAATTTATCTCTTTATCTCATTTTGCGGTTCAGAGGTCAATGCAATTTCCTAAGATTGTTTAGTGTAGCGGAATGTTAGAGGGCTCCCTGGCTGTATTGGCTGTATGAGCTTACTGTGTTTCACCTAATTGCTACTAGTAAATATCCATCCAACAATGTGGCACCAAATGGCACAGGGTTATCGTAGCATTTACCATAGACTGTAAAAGTTTTAATTCTTTCATGGAAGTTCTTGGTTTTGGGCTTGTTTAGAAGCTATTTTGGTGGGAAAAGGGTTGAATGATAACTATGATGATTTTCATATTCTTTTTAGTGTGCCCATATTGTTTTGCTGTATTTTATATCCAAAAACATTTCCATACTACTTCTATATTTGTACTTGACATCACTTTGAATTGCATTAAAGCTGAGTGTACCCACAAATGATATTTAGCTGAACATAACGACAGAGCCCAAAATCTATGCCTTTGGTTCTTATTGGCATCTCATATGTACGCTTTTCATTCAGCTCATCCATAAGATCTAAGCTTTTAATCTTAGGGTTATTGTTATATTAGACCCCCAAATTTATTAGACCCCAAAATTATTATATTTCTAAATTAACCCCGAAGTCCCTTAAGCTGTTTTAAATAGGGTCTGTAGGCATCGAAAATTGCATATAGGTCTCCGTGAGCAGCTCAATGCTAAGAGGAGGTGAGGAACGTCACTATCCAAGTCACAGAAGCTCGATTAACGTCGATGAACGCTTGAAGTGAATCGACGAACTACGTGAAGCAACGGAATTTCAGAATAACAGAGACACGAACTGATCGGGAATCTCGTATCGTTCACAAATGGCGAGATACCCTTCGTGTCTCATTTGTTCCACAGATGATATAATCATTGGAGCTTATAGAACTCCTCGTCGGCTTTCCAACTTATTTTGAATCGCTCAAATCCGAGTTCGGATGAAGAAGTTACGGCGGAAACGGACGAACATACAAATCGGAACGTCTCAGCCTGAGTTGAGACACCCCGAGGTGTCTCGGCACGAACGAGACACCCCAAGGTGTCTCGGCCTCGCTGAGACACCCCGGGGTGTCTCCAGCCCCAGAAATGCTCCGTTACACGGTTTTAACCGCCCGGAACCCCTTTGTGCCTATAAATACAGCCCCAGGCCCTCATTTTTCGACATCTGGAATTCTCGTGCCTCGGCGAAGCCCTGCCGGATTGAAGACTTAAAGTGCACAGATTTCAGAGAGGAGGAGGAGTTAGATCTGTAGCCCGGTTCGTTCCTTAGGATTATCCCATTAGAGAGTTGTATTTTTTTATTATTTTTTTTATTGTATAAGAAAGTCTTATAAAAAGATTAATTTTACTTTGAATCTGTAATCGATAAACGTGTAATAGATTCAGCAATGAAGAAATTAACTTTCACCGAAAACAAGTTGGCGACCACAGTGGGAGCCAACAGCCTCGCTGCCGAAGCTGTCGTGCCGCAGCCGACGATCAAGATCCTGGTGTTCGAAGAGGTCGAGTACGAATTCGACCAGCAGAAATTTGAAGTGTACATCTCCTCCTCCTCCTCCAGATCTGCTCCTCCCCATAAGCGCAGGAAGATCTCCTCCTCCCAGAAGATCCGTCGGTCTCCAGATCTGAAGACCCGAGAAGTCGATCTCCCCGTAGTCGATGCTACAGTTGCATCCTGCACAGTTGCACCTTGCAACGATCAGCCGGCATCCGATGAGACCAGATCTGCAGATCTGAACTCTTTCGCGATCAAGGAACCGACTGCTGAAGGTGCGCCAACTCTATCAAAGAGAGCACGTCAAAGGAAACGCTAACGCCTCGCGCGCCAATTCGCCAAGGCTTTGGATCAGGTGGATGAACTCAGGTACCAAGCGGATTGGGAGTTCAGAAAGCGCCAAGTGACTAAGCTATCGCCACAACAAGCATCGGGACCCTCCTCCCAACCTCTAATTAACAAATGGGTTCAGGTCAAACGAACCCGTTCTACCCTCGAGGAGCGCGTCCAGAAGCGCCGTGCACTTATTGCGCACACCCAGATCCTTGTGCGAGAGGCACGAGAATTGCAGCGGGAAGAGGTGATCAAGAAATCACCAAGATCTAAGCAGGTTTGGGTGCCAAAGGCTAAGTCAGCGCCCCTACCCGATAAAAGACATCAGTCGTGTCTCTCGGTCGATTCCAGATCCAAAGCTGGTTCCCAGCTTTCGTCAAGTTCAGATCTCGCTCCTTTTAATCCCACACCTCCGGTGAAGCTCCGCGACAATATGGACATATCCAGAGGCAGGAAAGTGATAGCGGAACGCCTGGGTCTTTTGCACGAGGATCAAGGCAAAGCTCCAGTCAAAGAACGCTTGGGCATGATGAATGAACCCCGAGCAACTCATCCCCTTCCAATAAATCAGAGCTTTCCTATAATGGGAAAGCTCCTATAACTGACCGCCTCGGACTGCGAGTCATTATCCAAGAGCCCGTTGAGGTCTCACGCTCACGAAAGCGTGACTCAAAACGTGCGACTCTTGAGAGCACTAACAAGACGGCTAATCCTCAGAAGGAAACATGTTCATCAGACGACGACGTTATACCTGAGGAGTCGTGCCAGCACACGATACGTTGCTCCGGCAATCATGCCGATGAGTTGTACTATCGGGCTGGGGGTACGAACAAATCTCGAAAGAAAGGTACTTCGATTAGTTCAAATAGCTCCAACCCTAATTTTTCTCCAGGAAGAGAAGTCAGTTTGGGAATAACCCAATGAATATCTCAGCTTCTCAGCTAGAAGCCGTCGGACATAATGATTACCAGGGAGTCCGTGAAGGAATCCATTCCGATGACGAACTCTCGGATTCTTATTCCGCACTCGCCTCTGACGATACAACGTCTAGCATAAGACAAGCTCGGGAAGTGTTCATGATCAACACCGAGCAAATAGCCAAAATCATTGAGGATGCTCTAGCCAAGCAGAAAGAAGCATTCAAAATCGAAATGAAAATGGCTATGCAGGAGATGAGACAAATGTACGACCAACAAATCCGAGCTTTGTCGAATCAGCTAGGTGAGTCCAGCCGTCGCAGCACTACTAACCAAGCAGGTAGCGATTCAGATGTAGATGAACATAACGCTGGGGGTGGCCCCACTAAAAATAACGACGAATGATAACACTGGAGGTGGCCGCATTATTCCTCTCGAAAATTGTCCAAAACAGGATATAGATGAGGACGAAAAGATGAAGGATCTCGAGAGCAAAATTGACGCCCTGATGTCTGCTCGAGAGGTGAAGAAGACCGGGATTCCGTGTCCTTACCCAAGAGAATGGGAATCAATCCCGTATCCGGCGAAGTTCAACCTGATTAACTTCACGCCGTTTGACGGGAAGGGTTCCCCCACTCAGCATCTGATCTATTTCAAGTCCCACTTGGGAGTAATCTCTGGTAACGAGCCTTTGATGGTCCGGTCATTTGTTGGAACCCTTCGCGGGCCCGCCTTCGATTGGTACTGTCGTCTCAAGCCTGCAAGCATCACTAGCTGGGAGGATCTGGAGAGCATGTTCCTCGGTCATTTCTTCGATGATGACACCGAAGTGTCAATCAGGACACTCTTCGATGAGAAACAGAAAGACGGAGAGTCGGTGGATACCTTCATCAAACGCTTCCGTAATCAGGTAATAAACTACAAGGATCCTGTCACGGAGGAATTCGTCTTGCAAACCTGTCATAATAACTTGTCCATTAACATCTTGGACGTTATGGGAGTAGAGCCGCTCAATACCTGGAAAGAGTTGAAGGTGCGCGGAGAGCAGGTCGAACGCTTTCTCAGAAGGAGGAAGGTCGAAAGAAGCCAACCGATGGCTAACCCTCTGAATCCGAGTCTCATTTCCCATGATGAAGGGAAGGCACCTACGACGGTTATTGATGTTAATCAGACGTCACAACAGCAGCCCCGAAGACAGCAGAAGACTTCGGATTCGAGGCTCCAAAAAGAGTACTCATTCAAGCCATCTTCGAGACCCTTCTTGAAAACAACAAGGTCAAGCTACCACCCATCACAAATCAGGAGGAAGCTGACGGTACTGCGGATCCGAAATACTGCGGGTACTACAGGAGGATCCTTCATCCCACCAAGGCATGCTTTACTTTAAATAATATCATTCAGACTTTGGTTGAAATCGGCGTCATAACGTTGGGATAAGCCAAATGAGAACGGCGCCACTCCGATAAGTATAAGAGTATAAACTGCTCCTTCCTACACTCCGAAGAGTATACGAGTATAAACTGTTTCTCAATCCTCCAACCGGTATATGAGGTTAAACTGCTCCCTGATACTCCAATAGGTATATGAGTCTAAACTATTCCCACTCTTGACGGGAAGTTCCTGGAGAATTTTCACATGTAATATTCTTAAGGATAACCCGATCATGCAACTGAATACAATGGTAAACCCAGCTTCACAAAGGAAACTGGGGGTGGATAATTTATGTAACAGGAAGTCTCCAGAAGAATGTTAAATGTAATATTCTTAGGGATAACCTGATCATTATGAATAAAGGGATAAACACTAAACTCTTACTGTGATTTCCGAACACTCTTTTGCTGAGACGAGATTAGATCACTTCATTAGATCAATTTTCCCTCACAAAACTCCCATTGATGTTCGACGACTCATAATCTCCCACTATAAACTCCCTCACTGATCAAATTTATTGACAGTGGGTCCACTAAAATTTTTCCTGGTTTAATCCATTCAAACTTCCATTATGTTCGTGCACTCAACACTTTCATGGTTAGAGTCCGGATATAATACTTGGAATTTTAATCTGTCCATCCTTGACAAATTGTCAAACCCCTTCGTGTTAAGTCTTTATCACTTAACACCAGGAACCCCATTTGAGTGATTTGTACAAGTTAACACCCCCACTATAATTTGTACTCCAACTCCCATTTGGTCAAACCTTCCTATAGTTAGGGCCAAAACCAAAATCCCCTCTTGATTCCTCCAATGAACGAGAGGTCCACTTTCAAATCGAGTGATCAAACCTTCCTACAGTTAGGGTCATCTCAAACTTCCGCTTGGTCAAACCTTCCTACAGTTAGGACCAAAACCACAATTCACTCTCGATAAACGAAAAATTTATCTTTAGTTCGGTAATCAAACCTTCCGACCGTTAGGGTTATCCGAATCTTATCGATTCTCGGAGTGGAGATCTCACTCTTAGTTTCATCTTTTCGGATTCTGGGGGTGGAGATCCCACTTCGAGTTTCCTTTCCAACTGAAGATAGAATATAAAATTCTTCCTCTTCAGTGCCGGGAGATAGAATATAAAATTCTTCCTTTCTCATTTCGGGTTCGTCTTTACCCCAAGAGAAGATACTTTTTTTTTAACTCCCAAAATCCGTGCCACACAGGTACGGGGAATTTTATCCCGAATCCTGAGCAGGGATAAGTCAACGTCTAACACGCGTTGTCGGTTTAGTCTTTCACCGATTGAAGAAGACACAATATTCCAGTCTGGGGAATTTTATCCCGAAACCTAAGAAGGGATAAGTCAGCGCCTAACACGCGTTGTCGGTTAGTCCTTAACCATAAAAAGGACAAAAGTCCACATATTCAACATTGTGGCAGGTTGTTATTAATAACACTATAATCCGTACCTTACACGTATGGGGAATTTTATCCCGAATTCTAAGTAGGGATAGGTCAACGCCTAACACGCGTTGCCGGTTTGTCTTTGACCGTAAAAAAGACAAAAGATCACATATTCAACATTGTGACAGGTTATTAATAACACCATAATCCGTGCCTCACACGCATGTGGAATTTTATCCCGAATCCTAAGAAGGGATAAGTCAACGCCTAATACGCGTTGCCGGTTAGTCCTTAACCGTAAAAAAGACAAAAGCTTATATATTCAATATTGTGGCAGGTTGTTATTAATAACGCCAAAATCCGTGCTTCACACGCACGGGGAATTTTATCCCGAAGCCTAAGCAGGGATAAGCCAACGCCTAATACGCGTTGCCGGTTTAGTCTTTTACCGATTGAAGAAGACACCAGAATCCGAGTCTGGGGACTTTTATCCTGAATCCTAAGTAAGGATAAGTCAGCGCCTAACACGCGTTGCCGGGTAGTCTATTCCCGTAACAATGGCGAAGTCTACGTATTCGAAGTCGTAGCATCAAGTCTAAGGGAGTTCATTCATTTAGCACAACGTCACATGCGGAACGGATTTAAACAATCCACTTGCTAGCCCGACTCAAACGGTAGTCGGTAAAGGCACGTCAAATCCGTTTATGACTGAGAATTTACCAAAAATCCTAAGTCTACGTCTAACACACGTTGTCGGGTAGTCTATTCCCGTGAGAAAGACAAAGTCTACGTATTCAATATTGTAGCACTAAAATGGGTAACTCTTTTAGCTTAACGTCACATGTGGAACGGACTTAAACAATCTGCATGCTAGCCCGACTTAAACGGTAGTCGGTAAAGGCTCATCAAACCCGTTGATGGCTGAGAATTTACCAAAAATTCTATAAATACGAGTCATTGACGCACCAACTCCGTTAGTCGGTCTCGTGACTCGAGTATCCAACAACATCAAGCAGACGTACGAGTATAAACTGTGTTAACGACGATCGATCCGAAACCCTAGGTCAACGTCGGTCAACGCGTAACCCTAGGTCAACGCCAATCAATGCGTTGCGATCCAAAACCCTAGGTCAACGCCGGTCAACGCGTTATGACAAAAAGTCAACGTACGGCGATCTGAAACCCTGAGTCAGCACGATGCGACGGAGATAGTCAGTTCTAAGTCAACTCAATGACACGAGCCAAACTCATCTCATCCGTTTTAGACTCGAAACTCCGACGACGGCCAGACGATAAACGCAGCGCCGGAAGGACTTCAGCTATTCGTCAAAGCATCGAATAGACTGAAAATCGAAGGAGCCAAGAGTCGAAGCTAACTACAAGTCCTTTACACCGATCGAAGGCTGGACCAATCACATCCAAAGTATTCCAGCCTCTTCTATAAAAAGAAACGAGTCTAGAACGTTTTGGAGGGGGTATCTGTAGGCATCGAAAATTGCCTATAGGTCTCCGTGAGCAGCTCAATGCTAAGAGGAGGTGAGGAACGTCACTATCCAAGTCACAGAAGCTCGATTAACGTCGATGAACGCTTGAAGTGAATCGACGAACTACGTGAAGCAACGGAATTTCAGAATAACAGAGACACGAACTGATCGGGAACCTCGTATCGTTCACAAATGACGAGATACCCTTCGTGTCTCATTTGTTCCACAGATGATATAATCATTGGAGCTTATAGAACTCCTCGTCGGCTTTCCAACGCATTTTGAATCGCTCAAATCCGAGTTCGGATGAAGAAGTTACGGCGGAAACGGACGAACGTACAAATCGTACAAATCGGAATGGCTCAGCCTGAGTTGAGACACCCCGAGGTGTCTCGGCGGTGTCTCGGCCTCGCTGAGACACCCTGGGGTGTCTCCAGCCCCAGAAATGCTCCGTTACACGGTTTTAACCGCCCGGAACCCCTTTGTGCCTATAAATACAGCCCCAGGCTCTTATTTTTCGACATCTGGAATTCTCGTGCCTCGGCGAAGCCCTGCCGGATTGAAGACTTAAAGTGCACAGATTTCATAGAGGAGGAGGAGTTAGATCTGCAGCCCGGTTCGTTCCTTAGGATTATCCCGTTGTGGTAATCTTAAGAAGAGTGATTATCTCGCTTCGCCGAGATAAGAGCTACGGTTTCTCGATCCCTTCGCGGTTAGACGAAACTCTGTCCAAATATTGATCGTTCGGTGGTCCACGGACTAACGCGTCCCCGTCACAGGCCAAGATCCCACGCAAGCAGCGGGCGATAAACATTCGTTGCGTTTGTTTAAAGAGAGTTGTATTTTTTTTTATTTTTTTCATTGTGTAAGAAAGTCTTATAAAAAGACTAATTTTACTTTGAATCTGTAATCGATAAACGTGTAATAGATTCAGCAATGAAGAAATCAACTTTCACCGAAAACAGGGTCACCCCGCTTCCAACAAGGGAACCACCCCTAACTTATTTCACTTACCATCCTTAATTATCTGAATTTCAGAAAACCACCCCTATCTACCATTCTATTAACATATAGCCACTCGTACCCTTTTCTATCCAATTTTCCATCCAAAAAATCACAGTTTGATGGTTTTAGCCTATATAAGTTCATTTTGTTAAACTTTAGGATCAAAGTTGAATATGCCAAATTATTTCCCATTTTAACTTTGGTATCCCAAAGCTTTTTTGCCCATAAAATACCACATAGTCGCTCTTTTTTCATTTTAATACCCCCAAAGTTCTTTTTTTCCCCTAAAAATACCCTAAATTTCAACAAAATTCAACTTTGATACCCTAAAGCTCAACACAATTTAATTTTGATACTCCGAATTTTCAAGAAAATTTAATTTTAATACCCAAATTCGACAAAATTTAATTTTGATGCCCAAATTCAATAAAATTTAATTTTGACACACAAAGCCCAATAAAATTAAATCTATGTAGGGGTAAAACCGTTAAATTATAATTTTCTGAATGGAAATTTTGATGGAAGAGGTCATGGATGGTTCTATGTTAATGGAATGGTAGATAGGGGTGGTTTCCTAAATTTTGAGTAATTAAGGGTGGTAATATTGTTGCGCCATCCCCTGGACCCCCTTAAGCCGTCATACAGTTCCTGTGACCTGATTCTCAGTATATTTGCGACCGATTCCCTCCGATACACGAATTGATTCGCCAAAATTGACGTACCTTACAAGTATGTGGGTGTGCAAAGTCCCTTCAAGTGCACATGCGCAAGAAGCAATGCGATGTGCACAATCGAGTGAAAGGAGGCGCACAATATAATATTAGTCAATGAATTTACTGAAACTAAACACCAATGTTAATAAAACATAAAATGAAACCATGATCCCAACGACAAACTATATGTAACGAGGATCAGGAAAAAAACGGACTCTATAAAAAAGAAGTATTCACATATTTTGTATGAAAAATTTTATTGAAATGCATAATTAGCTTTTCTAGTTTCTACTACTATACACTTTGAAAAACTGCAAAAAGTTTACCATTGACTCGACTTGGATACAAAAAAAATCAAACTACCCGCTCGAAATTTTCGAAGTGGCGAGTTGCGTATCCGAATTCGTATCATGACCCGTTACGTACCACATACCGTGTAACTATGTGGTAACATGAAATAAGGCCCAAGTTAGGGATGGTTTTCTGGAAAAAAAAATCCTTTTAAGTAAATCCCCAAATTTATCAAGTTGTTTTAAACAAGAGCCTCAAATCTATTAAGTTCTTTCAAATAAGGCCCTCATTCTGAGCAAATATGAAGATTCAGAGAGTCTTACTTAGAAATATGAAGAGTGAGGGTCTAATGTAATTAACCATGATTTAGTGGTCTAATATGACAATAACCTTTAGTTTTATTTGTAAGATTATAATTGTATGGTCAGTGCTAACTAATTGTTGGAAACACTTGAACAGTGCTGTTTTCCTCCAAATCTATCAGAACACACATGCGAGCAATCATATAAGCACATGGAACAAGGCACTTCAATCTCATGGGACGACGCGCTGAACTCAAGCACACAGCATTTCCAGCACAAATACTACAACCTCTTCACCTGCAACTGCCACTCATTCGTCGCCAACTGCCTGAACCGCCTTGCCTACAACGCCTCTGTGAGGTGGAATATAATAAATTTAGTTGGACTTGTAATTTTGAAAGGAAAATGGGTAAATGGCATGGCAGTTGTAAGATCGTTCTTCCCTTTTGTTGTCGTGATGTTTGTTGGAGTTTTGATGGCTGGGTGGTCTTTCCTCATCGGGCTAGCTTCGTTCTCTTTTCTGCTTATTGGTTGGTTTGTATTTGGCACATATTGTATGAAGCAACTGATAGACTGTTAGCTTGGTGTCATCAGCCTCGAGATTTCTGTATGTTTGATGGAAGTTAGGCTTTTTGGATAGTGCAACAAATGTCGACTCCTGAAATCTGTCATTGGCTTCTACATGTTTATATCCTGATCAGTCTTCTTGTGGCTATTGTGAGACATTATTCTAGTTTTTGGTTGGCATCGCAAGGACTAGCATGAACAATTTCAAATTTGTTTACATGAACAATTTCAAAATTGTTTGCATCAATGTTTCCTAGTTTTTAGATGCCATGTCATGTTTTGGTTTAAGCTTTATCTCAACGCATACAGGGTTCACGGATAACTATTTATCTTGCTTTAGCATTCGTGTCTGCTATGGGATCTTGGAGACAATGACACATGATGGAGAAGATTGATAAATTGGAAAGGGTTAACTGCATATAGACCCCCCCCTCCCCCCTCCCCTCCCAGTATTTGTTATTTCGAACTTAGTACTTAGGCCTGTGTTTTCATTTTGGCAGGTAGACCCTCTAGGTGAATCTTTCTGACTCTTTTGTCCTAAGGTGAAATTTCGGAAGATATTAACCCGGTGAAATTATTGAGTCTGTTTGAGGGTAAAGGAGTCGATAAAATTTCATTTGGGATCTATTTGCCAAATTGAAACTACGATACTGCATGGTGTCTATGTGCTATTAACCCTTAACAGAAATTAAGAGAGGTGGTTTTATTCAAGCTTTTTTGGCTTGACATATATTAAGAATACATTCAATCTATGACAATCATCCTTCAATTTATTTTCTGCTTTTGGACATTACAAAGGTTAAATTTATTGGTTACTTGTAATTGACTGCATGAAAGTGCATTCTAGATTACAGATCACAGCAGCAATTTAAGTAGCCACTTAGTAGTTTTCTCTTTTGTTCTCCTTCAGTTGAGTCATCAACAATTCAGCAACTGTTCTTTTGTAATAGAACTCTTTTGCATGTTGTGGGCATAGTTTTCAAAGGTAATGGTTGCCTTACGAGGTAAAAGATGTTTACTCTGGAGGAGAGAGCCTCCATACACACACACACACACACACTAAAAAGTTCTCTTCATTTTCCAACTTAAGGTCTCATGGGAGAAATTTTTAAGAAGTTAAGGACTAGCTCTCTAATTCAAGTAAAGAAAAAGATATTTGAGACCTTGTACAAAAAAAATAACAAAACATTTCATTCTTTATGGAGCCCACATTCTAAATTCAGCCACAAATTCAAGAATACCAATATCCTTTCTCCATACTCCAGTGGCTCTCCTCCAAGAAAATCCCACATGCATACTTCATCTACCAGTCTTTGCTTTTGCTCAGAACTCTACTCCAATGCCAGGCACCATCCAAGTCTCTGGTACGAACTCAGCTCTCAGTTTTTTGTAGTTGCGCCGAGAAAATACTACTGTTAGCGGTTAACTTTATATCTCAATTTATAGTTGAAGGCCTCATAGATTTCCCCAGATCAACAAATACAAGTCTTTTCACTTTGAAGGGTGGGTGACTTTTCGCTTATTTTATATATTTTTTTTTATTTATTATTGTTTCATATTTTGTTATATCTTTTTAGTTCTTAGCCTGTAGAATTTGATGCAGTTTCCATGGGGAAGAGGGAATACAAAAGCATGGGACAGAGTGACTGCTCAATGTGAGTTACCTGCTCATCTCCTTTCTTTGTCTTCTCAAATTACTTGAACAAATTCTAGCATTCTCTTGTCTTCAAGGGGTTCAGTGGATTTTTTTCCCCATATCTTCACTAACAAACTTTCGAGTTATAGATTTTCTCTTAGCTTCCTCGTCCTGTGTCCTACTGACATTGGGTTAATTCCAAATTGCACGCCATCAAATTATGGCAAAGAAAAAGAAAAGAGCAAATATCAGTCTTTTGACATCCAAAAAAAGAAATAAATATATCCGTTCTTTCCTTCAATATACGGTGCAGCCCTGTGGCATCAATTCGGGAGAACTTGATTGTTGCAATTCATGATCCAGAGGGCAATGAAATATTTCATACAGGTACCTGTTGACTTAGATGAATTTTTCAGATAGAGTTTCGTCTTAGAATAGCCAACGACAATGGAGTTCACTATTTCTTGACAGAATTTAGGACCATGTCAGTGGTGGAGAAAGGAATTCTTGAGGACTCCTACCCTCTCAAATCCGGTGGGCGTATAAACATGAAGCTCCAATTCTCACTCAACAGTGAAGAACAAATGAGGATCCGGAAAATGGTAGGTTTCACTAAATCTCAAGCCACCGTTTCTCTTGATTCATATAAGGATCTTGCTGTTTTACAATGCGGTAGAGGGAGTCTGCATTGAAAAGGAAAGGTGCAGACGAACTACAGAATGGAGCAAAGGGTTCAGCTCTAGGTAGTATTTTCTATTATCCCTCATCAGGACTTTTGCTGAATTCTTTGAATTACTGTAGTTTGAATGTCACAGGGCAGAAGACTGGAAATTGGATTACATACTCCACAACTGAAGGAGCGCTACTTGATCAATCACAACAAACTGACCCAGTTAAGGATTCTTTACAAACATGACTTTAAATATTTAATAATAAATTTCCTATGAATTAGTAATATGTGATTAGGCATACTTTATTCTTAGTGCAATCAAAGTTAAGGAGTTCAATAACAGCATTTCAATATTCATAAATACAGATTCGAGTGGATCATCAAGCGTTACATCTTCGCAAGTCTCTGAGCAACCATCAGAGAGCTCATATAAGAGGGATGATGGCCAGTTGGTTGAAGTAAAGAAAGAAAGTGTAAAGATACAATCGCCTGTAGATGTTGTTAATAAGTGGAAGGTTTTCTCTAAATTTGGTTTAAAGCCGCAGTTCGAAACAACAAGATCTTTAGTTTCAGAAAATGCTACTGATCAACATAGCTATTCTGATTCTACTGAACTGAGAGAGAACAAAAAAAGGAGCAACGTAAGGAAAATGGTGACTGTTTTCGAAAGCAGTCTTTTCCAGGTATTTATCTAAAGTTCCAATTGTATTATGTCTGTTGCATATGAAAAAGAGAGACAGCTTTAATGAAAAATGATAACTGCAGGAACAATATCCTCGTTATAGACGGAGAACAAAACCTTCACAACTCAACATGGGTATTGAAGGTTCTTTGAAAAGAGTGTCTTCAGAAGAAAGTGATATTGATAAACTAAAAGCCCGTCCTAGAAGAATATCGAAGTCGTTTTCTTCAAGCATGCTCTCGGATATTGAATTACAGCAAAATCCAAAATTCATTCAATCTGCATTTCTGAAGAAAGAGGAGGAATTGGAGCATGTTGGTCCTAATAATGATGAAAAAATCAGGAGCCAAGACTCATTTGAACGAAAACCTGTGAAAGAGACGGTACATAGTAGAAAGGCAGTTAATTCTGTTAAATTTACTGATCATGTCGAAGAAGGAAAAGACATCAAAATTAATGATGTGCAAACAGTAATTAAAAGTGTTGCCGAGAATCTTCAACTCCCCCAAATTGAAAAAGTCGAAGCTGTGAACACAAAGGTAAAGGAAAATAAGGAGTGTGCGCCTCTGCAGGAAACTCAGTTTTCTGAAAGTCGTTCAGATGAAGAAATTGAAGCTTTGGTTCCAAATGGAACTGTTAATTCCTTCAAACATTTTTACGTTGATGGATGTCATTTTGGAAATTCTGATCTTTGGACCACTCGGCGTTTATGTATTACAACTGGGAATAGACAGTTGAGAGATCTTCTTGACTACTGCACGACTTCTGGCGGAATGAATCAAATAGAGGACAATCCATCGTTAGGATCGGCTACAAAGTTTATTTTGTACACTGCGGGTGTTCAGGTGACGGTTACATTTCCCTATAACTTTATATCCCTTGTCTTACCTAAGTATTTTTTTAAATTATTTGCAACACTTTTTAACTCGAAAATCTTATACTTGTCAATTACCTGAGCATATTCTTGTAGTTATGTTATGAATACATTATGAACTAATTTTCTATTAAGATGATGTTATTATCCTCATATCTTTGTTTTCTGGATGACTTATTCTACTCTTTTAAAAGATTGTAGTGAAAGCATGGTGATTGATTAGCTGAAGCATTCATGAAAAAGTATGCCATCTTTCGTCACAAATTTAAAGATTTTCATCAAGAGATTAATTGATTTTTCATCAAGAGATTTTTCTCGCCTTGTTTGTTCACGTCTTTAGAGCCATATTTGTCACAAATTTAGAAATTATTGTTTTGTTTGTCACATTATAATCTGTGTCTGACCTTCCAATGACAAAATTAATCATTATGCTTGTAACGATTTTGTTTCATGCAATTTGTGTCTATGATATATGAAACATAGAAATCAAATGCAGCAAAAGCCAGACGATGATGCATTAACCGAAGCGAGTCAGAACGAAAGGAGTTCTTATAGACGTGTAGAAGAAAAAAATGAAAATTCAATTGGGATTGCAAAATTTAGTGCTGGCTTGATTGAACAGGTAGCTCCTTGTTTCATGAAATCATCTTCAGGTTTGTGGATGAATACTTATTTTGTTCATGCATTCAGTGTACATGTGGAGATGTATCTTATCTAAGGTAGTGCTTGTTACTCATGGTTATTTTTCTTACCTTGTGGAATCCATTTCTATTTTTTGGTGAAAGATTTAGATAGAATTTGTACGGCTATGTTAGAAACCATTTCTCTCATTTTTCATTACATTTCATTTTATCTCCTCTTTTCTAAAGTCAATATTCTATGTCAACCATATATGTTCTTTGAGAAAAATATGTCAACAAGATTTTGTTTTTGCCTCTCAGGGAGTAAGAATTGCTATCTTGGTAGTTGCTTGTGGGACACTTCTATTCAATACTAGACAAAGAAAGCCCCGATAATTGTAGAATTTCCTCACTCAAACGATAACAAGCTTTTGACGAAAGGCTAGCTTGGATTCGATAAAAGATCAATTCGTTACATAATCAAGAAAACAAGTTCCTCAAAGTTTGGCAAACTGATACAATAATGTCAGAAGAAAGCTCGGTGGATTGTGGCTTACTAGTTCTAGTTGCACACAGCGCTTTCTTCTTCAAACCTCTGGCAAAGTACATTAACTTTCATAAAACATCTTGCATGGAGAAATCTCTGAGTAACCTGCAGTGGAGCCGGTTATTTAGTTCATAGTATTAGACTTTGACTGATTCTTTAGGGTCCGTGTACTGTTATCTGTTAAGTGTCAGATTATTTCATGTATATTCTATTGCATGTTGAGTCTTTTTTATCATCGAGGTTAATGCTTTACCGTCACAGTGTAATCTATCTATATAGATGAATGACTTGATAAATTTGTCCAAAAAAAAAAGAATGACTTGATAAATTTCAGCTTTATTTCAATGGCCTTTTGGTTACGTTTCAAATATTGTTGAATTTAGATAGAATTCAGGCTCATAAACAGAAAAAGGACCAAGGTTGCAAGTAGGCAGATCAATAACCAAAGAGGTTTCCAATTGCAGAGTCATTTACGTACTCTGCAGCATCAAGGTATTGTGTTGCATCTCTCTTTTTTTGGTGTGAGAAAATAGTTAAAAACTTGCCACTTTTGTTGATTTCTCGTATAACTCTTTTCTGGTATTTGATTCTTCATTACCTTTGTGGTTTGTACCTTGCTATCAATGCATATGCGTATAAATGTTCCATTGACAGCTAAGGTTTTATTAAGTAATTAATATATCAATAATGATTGTTGTAAAGGAAAAGGGAAACAAGCTGTCACCAAGATGAAGATACACAGCTTGTTAAGCAATTGCCAACTTAATTTATGGTAGAAAAAGAAAAAAGAAAAATAAAGATGTGCATCTCATATCCTCATGAAGTTTCAATAACATGGGGGTCTAGAATTACAAGACTCCGTCAATCAAGGGGTCTAGAAATTACAATGACTCCCTCAATCAACATCTTCTTTAATTCTTGATCAAAACAGAGGCATCATGTTTGGCAACTTTGGATTATAATCCATTTAGTTTATAATCTATAAATGTCTTATTATAGTCAGGTGGACTATAATCCAAAGTGTTTGGCAAATTGAATGTTTGGTAATTTGAGTGGATTGTAATCTATTTTTCAAGGGTAGAGTGTTTGGCGAAAGGGTAACTTGTAATCTATCATTTGTCGTCAAAATGACCAAAAATACGCTGAAGATGAAGAAAGAGGGCTTCGGAGTATTCTTAAATATTAAAGGGTAAAGTGATATTTTACTTGGTCAAACTATGTGGCTTGTAAGCCATAAAAATAAATGTTGCCAGGAAATATATTGAATTGATATTTAACCTAGACTGTCCTCTAATGAGACTTGTTATCGTATGCAAATGTATCATCTTAATAAAGTTTACAACTAAAGTGGAAATCCTCATTATTGAGTCATAGATCTAGTCAGACGTCGTGCATGACAAAGGCAGGCTAGTTATCATACGATCCAACAAGTGATTTACGGATTGGGCCGACTTTTCGGGCCCACCAAGGAAGAGAGACTGGAATCTGGGTCTAATTCAAGTATGTGCACAGTGCTTCGGTGATGGCTAGTTGGTGCCAACTTTATTAATTAATTTCTTCATGAATTATCTCCTTTAACTAATTAATTCCTTCATGAATTATTTCCTTTCTCTTTTCTTTCTCATATTTTTAGGGAACTAAACATTGTTGGTAGGAAAAAATAAATAGGTTGCAATTTGGGGAAAAAACTACAACAAAATTCAATTAGATCGGAGAAAAAGCTGCAAACTATAAAAGAGAAATAAAAAATAAAAAATAATTTTCACTTATTGATGAGAAAATTCTAATTATAAATTATTAAAGTATTTGTACCCGAAGGTTCTCCACATGATCAGATATTTGCTTATTTAATTAATATTCTGTAACTCTTTCTATTTTGCCAGCACAAATCTATAATTATATATGATTCATGGGGATAAACATAAATGATAGTAGTGTTGCAATTTTGTGAGAAAGGGAAAGAATTCACTTCAAAATTACACTTAAAAAAAGTTAATTACCAAAAAAAAGGTAAAAGGCGGAAAAAAATGGTAGTTTCTTATCCGGTGGCTGAGCGGTTAACCGCGGTGAATTAGTTAATTTGACCGGTTAGTTACCGGCGGTAGACCAGACTACTCCCTGTTTACCCCCCACTCTCTCCTATAAAATTCCCTCTCTTTTCCCCCTCAATTTCTGTAATTAGGGTTTTTCTCTCTCTAAAACGCGACCAATTTCTTGAGCGAGAGACATCGCCATGAGCAACGAGAAGAAGCAAGACACCCTTGATCTCTCTGATCTCCGCTCCGCTATTCCCGCCAATGCCTCAGGTTTTCTCTTTCTCTCTAAACTTGTTTTCTCTCTCTTCAACTGAGTTCTGATTGATTTTTTTGTGCAGCTTTGAGCGCGGAGGATAGAGCGGGCCTCGTCAACGCTCTAAAGGTGAAGTCTTTGCTGCCATTTTGATCTTTTATTGCTCTAAAAGGTGAAATCTTTTTTACGGTTTACTGATTATTTTGTTGATTGTTTGTAGGATAAGCTTCAGAACTTGGCGGGAGAGCATTCTGATGTGCTGGAGGCCCTCACCCCAAAGATCAGGAAGCGGGTCGAAGTTCTCAGACAGATCCAGGTATGATCCTTTGGGTGATTTCCTATTAGGGTTTTTGTAAATTCAAATTAGCTGTATTTGGGTTTTTCTAAGTGATCATTTGGGTGCTGCTTTGTATGTGGCTAACTTCAAATAGGATACAGTTATGTAATTTGTCATATCAGCTCTTATGCACTTGGTTAATCAGAGATGTAATCAACACATAGTTATGCTACTTGTGTGATACATGATCTTTTCTCAGTCCTCTTAACATTTAATGATCGAGAGCAGCTTGATTGGCCGGCGTTTAACCCAAGGTTTAGTAGCATGACTTCATATATTAGATAACTCCACTTGCAGATTCATCGCTAAGGATTGTGTTGATTCATTTGTTTGTTGGCATATTGACGTGGGAGAGGATACCTTGAATTTGTGTTTACCATAAGAGGACAGCCGTTTATGTTGTTTGTCTTTGATCGAAGACAGTCAAGAGGAAATTTACTTTACCTAGCAGTTTCTCCTGATAAAATAAGCTCTTGAATTTACTTTATGGAAGAGCATGAACACTAGGTGACGCACAGCCACACACATAATATAATATATTCGGGGGAAAGCAATGGTTGCCTTTCAGGTCCTAGTGCTAAAGCAGAATCATAGCTGTGGAATACTGATAGGAGAAGCGTTGTTGATTTATTGAGGGCGTTTTTTTTTCTAGCAAGTTGAGATTTGAGATGGGCAAGTGGTAACTGTAGAGATATTGGCAACCTAGGATATGAAAGAAAGTCTTTTAATCTTCCACAACTGGAAATTTAATCTTTTGTGTGGGCTTGTTCACTTTTCCTCTCCTTCCTATGGAAAGGACTGCTAAGCAGATAAATCCAACATACATGTTCCTTTAAATGGCACCAAAGTCTTATGTAATCTAGGGTTGCTAATCTTGGTCTGATTGGGGACCAAGCCAAAATGCTTGTATCGGTGATCGTGTGCACCAGGTGTCCAATTGAATAGTTTCAGAGCTATTTAGACCCAATTAACTATCTTATGTGCAATTATAATAGGATAAAACTTGATTAATCTAGTGGTTTCATGATTATATGACTAGAGATCAATGACAATGGCAAACAACTAGATCTCACCTGGTGTTAGTAGTTCCGGAGGCAAACTCGTAGTATTGCTTAGTTAGCAAGCTCATTTCAGGCTTGACAAAGTTGACCTGTATACTAATGCGTCATTTTCGTTTTTGGGAAACAATCTGGAACATGAGCCTCGACCCAATCTGGTCAGAGTCGAACCATCTCCGCTCCTACATGCAAGCAATGCAAATTCATTTAAAATCCATGTGCAAAAACAAGGGTTACATATCTAAGCACATGTATATGATTGGTACAATATGTGCTTAGTATAGACATGTCCTGATGCACCATGATCTGGAGTCACCAACATTGAAATTGTTAGTATTGCAATTTGTGAAGAACATCACAACTTTTTCTAAGTCCTGGGAAGAAGAATCTGGCTACGGTAGGAGATTTGTGTATGTGTGACTGGGTAAATGCATTTGTTCTTCTTGGTTTTGGTATGATACAAGTAGCAGATGCTTGATACATCTTCCTTATTTCTTTACCCCGATAATTTCCTACTGGGACTTAAGTATGAGGATGTAACTGAATGGGTACAAGAAAAGCAGGTACTTCAGTGTCTTCTATGGGATCCCTTCAAGATTAACATAATATATTTCTGCTGTTCTTACTTTCCTTTTATTTTCTTTATATTAATGTTACTTGGATAATTGGATTTATTGTGGTTTCATATTTCTGATCTTAGATTCAAAAACCTGATATTGTATCCTCTGGCGTAAATAAATATCGAGGGCTTGCTACTTGCTAGAAGGATAGTTGTGCATATTTTATAACAGTTATTTCATCTTCTTCTTCAACCAAGAGAATCCAGTTTTCTTTTGCTTTAGTCTGTATGATGTCCATTTCTTTCCTTTTCTTTTTTTTTCCATAGCAACCAAGAGAATCCAGTTTTCTTTTACTTTAGTCCTTATGATGTCCATTTATATTCCAGAGCCAACATGATGAGCTTGAAACTAAATTCTTCGAGGAAAAAGCAGCACTTGAAGCTAAATACCAGAAGCTTTATGAACCACTATACACCAAGGTACTCTATTTTTAATAGTGTATTGTGGTTTAGTTAGTGCAGAAAAGCTAAACACTAGACCTCGAGTCTCCCAGGCCTTTTTTTTCTATGGTACATTATACTAGTATTTTAAGCATATTTCTTTGAGAGTTACTTTTGATGTCAAATTTTCAGCGTTATGAAATTGTGAATGGTGTGGTCGAAGTTGAAGGTGTTACTGACGTTGCTACAGAAGAAGCCTCAGTCGAGGACAAAGCTCCCGAAGGTTGGTTGAATGCAAACAGAGTTAAAAATTGTTGGCATGTAGTCTATATTGCTTCCAACCTGATGCTTTTTTTTTACACAGGAAAAGGTGTACCTGATTTCTGGCTCACTGCAATGAAGACAAATGAAGTGTTAGCTGAGGAGGTGAACAGGAAGCCTTGTTTTTCCTTCACCATTCGGTTTAAGTATTATTCATACATATTATGTGATCTTTTTCCTGTCGTTTATGGCTTCAGATCCAAGAGCGTGATGAAGCTGCTTTGAAGTACCTCAAGGATATTAAATGGTGCAAAATTGATGACCCAAAGGGCTTCAAATTAGAATTTTTCTTTGACACTAATCCTTTCTTTAAGAACTCTGTTCTGACAAAAACATATCACATGATTGACGAGGACGAACCAATCCTAGAGAGAGCAATTGGGTAACCTTCTTTGCTCTACTTCACGAAGCGGCTATACCTGCACGCCCCCCCCCCGCCCCTCGCCCTCCCCTCCCTCCCTCCCTTCCTTCTGTTCATCTCTATTCATAATCATGCTTTACCTAACTAAAAGTATATCGGATTGTCTTAGGACCTGAGATCTTGAACTGGTTCGCCCAGGTAAGTGCTTGACTCAGAAGATCCTTAAGAAAAAACCGAAAAAGGGGTCAAAGAATACCAAGCCCATTACTAAAACTGAGGACTGTGAGAGCTTCTTCAACTTCTTTAACCCCCCAGAAGTTCCAGAGGATGATGATGATATTGACGAAGATACCGTAAGTTAACGTCATTCCCCAGCCATGACAGAAGCTACGTACCGACCGAATGCTTATGTTTTTCATTCTCTTTGTCAGGCTGAACAGCTGCAGAATGAGATGGAGCAGGATTATGATATTGGGTAAGCTTGGGTTTGATTGTGTCCAGTTGGTTGTAGAGAGTTTTAATTCTTAATATGAATCAGTACATCTTTCTCTACACATTAGAATTATTTTAAGTTGTATATGGATGATTTCCCTCTTCTTTTTTGTGTGTGATTCTTTATGTTGAGAATAAAGTATTTGTTCTTGCAGGTCTACTATCCGAGACAAGATTATCCCACATGCTGTTTCATGGTTCACTGGAGAGGCTGTTCAGGATGATGGTCTTGAGTTAGAAGAGGATGAAGAGGATGATGATGATGAGGATGACGATGATGTAGAAGAGGATGAAGAGGATGAGGATGAAGATGAAGAGGAGGCCAGCAAGCCCAGGAATAAGGTACACATACATAGATAATTCATGCAAAAGTTAAGTACTAGCAGTATCTTCTTAGTTAGTAGTACGGATACTGATCTCTTTCATCTCCATCCTGGAACCTTACTGTCCTAAGAAGTCGGCTGCTCGGCAGAAGGTATGGTATGTTTTGCTCCTTTCTCAATCTTAGTAAAGTTTTATGGGTACCTTTCACAAAAACCACCAATGCTTTGGGGTGTTTCTCACAAAACACCAAAAGAAATTTCCAAGTAACTCTCAAAACGACGGAAAAATGGCCCACAGGCAAAAAAAACATTTTTTTCTAATTAATTTGGGTTGGGGGGTTGGGTTAGGGGGCAGGGGATGGGGAAGAAGAGGAGGGATTTGTTTGCAAAATGCCTAATGTGATGGCTTATTTTGCAAAAAAATTTTAAAAAAAGTTAAAAAACTAGGAAATGATATTTTTTTACTTGAGGGGCATTTTCGTCAGTTTGAGGAAAGAAAGTATTGTGGGGTTCCATGGCAACGTATTAGGGGGTTTGAGAAGTTTATGCAGGTTTTATTGAATATTTATCGCTTCGAATACTTAACGTCATTGTTTCTGATGCTGCAGAGAAGTGGAGCCAATGCTGGGGAGGGTGAGGATCGGCCAGCTGAATGCAAGCAGCAGTAAACTGTTGAGTTTATATATATTTCCAGTTCCTGGGAGTGGTTCAGAAATTGGCTGAGAACAGTTTTATATATGTTGGGTCTTGAGAGGGAGGCTAGTTTTTCATATGTTATATCAATTCTTTGGCTTCTTTCTTTTGTGTTTGGACAAAATCAAGCCTTTTATTATTTTTGATTAGTGGATGTAAAAGCCAATGTTTTTAGGTGATGGTTTAATTTTTGTTGTTCTTATGTTAATTTGCATGTGTATCCTGCATTATTCATAGAGAATGTTCATCAGCAGTGTAGAGAGAGAATATTTCGTATAGGAAAATGATAGGGGCACACCCCTAACCACATCCCAAACCACACCCCCTCTCTCATATGCTACAGTGCATCGGATTCCACATGGGATTTTAATTTTAAAATCTCATGTGGGGTCCGGTGCACTGTAACATATGAGAGAGGGGGTGTGGTTTGGGATATGGTTGGGTGTGTGCCCCTAGTGCCACCCTTTCGTATAATGTTTCCCAAGTCTAATATGCTAGGATCATGTACGGGTGAAACCCTGCCTAAAGCTTCTTGAGCCTGAAAAGATCCACCTTTTGGTGCCTTGTCTATTTCCTGTAGTTGGAACCAATAATGTGAAGCTTTTATTGGTACGGTTGGAAGGAAGCATTAAGGAGTGAAAGACGGGATGAGGTTTGATGTTGTCATTTCCATTCATACCCAATTGGTAGGATTGCAAATAAAAAGGGTCTGTTTCTTGGGTTTTAATTGTTGCAATAAGCTTAACAAGCAAAAGCTAGAGGTATGTTTGGCAACTTTTTAAAACTAGACTAGGCTTGAAGTTTATCCAGGCTTTAGTATTGTTGATTGATAAAAATTGGTCCATAAGTGAATCACTTTACTTTAGTTTACTTTTTGTCCTCTAAATTGCTTTAGTTATGTACTTGGAGAGAGTCGGTCTATAAATAAGCTAGTTTTTTACAAAATCTGTTTAAGGAGCAAGTGCGGTGTAATTTTAGTGAGCTGCCAAACACGCTCTAAAATGGGATAAAGGAGCAAGTGCGGTGTAATTTTAGTGAGCTGCCAAACACGCTCTAAAATGGGATATGGTGTAATTTTAGCGAGTTGCCAAACACGCTCTAAAATAGGCTCTACATGGAGTGAAGGTGCGGTCATGTTACCGTGATTTTAATGAGTTGCCAGATACACTCTTTAATGGGCTCTATATGGAGTGAACGTACATTATTTTGGACATTAGCTAGACGATGGTTGGGACCATATCACCTTAATTCTAGAGGATACACTCTTAAATGGGCTCTACATGGAGAGAACGTACATTATTTTGGACATCAGCTAGACGATGGTACATTATTTTGGACATCAGCTAGACGATGGTTGGGGTCATATCAACACCTCTATACAAATGGAAGAATTCAAGATTTACTGTTCATGTCATAATAAACACTACAGTAAATATTAGTACAACATTATTACTGTAGCACACGGGATGCTGTAGCATTTTAAAAGAAAAATTACTGTGCCAGATGCGGGGATCATAGCGTTCTTTGAAAATACTATAGCATTAATATTATAACACGGGTATACTGTAACAATTTAAAAAACGCGGGACACTATAACAATTCAAAAAAAAAAATCTTACTTCAACATTTAAAAACATGATTACTATAGTGTTGAAAAAAATTATCGTCGTACTTTGCACGGACAGCACACTAGTCACCTTAATTCTAGAGGATTCAAATTAGAGATTGCAATCAGTTAATTTAAACACAACAACAGTTTGTGTCTTCTATATTTCGCCTTTCCTTGCAAATGAGCCGAACAATACCACAGCACCCTGACAGAAAAAACATTCACAGGTATCAGAATACAAGGTAAATTCACCTTTGCCGTTGAAAGCAAGTTTACATCCCAACACAGAGCCTTGCCCTAACAAGGCAGTTAAGCCCCTAACAACACACACACACACCCAGGAAAAAAAACCTTCTTCAACAGCGAGATACTTTCTTTCTTTTCCTACAAATATGGGTAAAAACTATCATAACCCTACCCTAGCTTTCTGTGAGCTATAACGAATTCTTCTCAGTTGCTATCTACCACGATTCATGAACTTCTTCACCTCATCATACAAGACCAATATCGCAGCAGCCCCGGTACTCCTAAACATGTTAGAAACTGCCCCTCGATAAAACGAACTACATCCTTCCGTTCTATAAATCTTCCTCCAACAATCCAAAGTACTTCCATACATTCTCTCCTTCGTTCCAGACTGCATCATCATTCGCCTCCTCACAGTATCCAATGGATATGACACAAACCCAGCCATCGTGGTAACTGCTTGAGCCATCACCCACCTCTTCCACAATGCAATATTCTCCGGTGTAGAATCTTCCGACGTCACCAACTCCTTCGCCGTATCAAAGCCCCCAAAGTAGAGTCCGCGGTGTACAATCATGCCATGCAATGAAGCAGGGAGGCCACGGTAGATGCCTCTGATGCCGTCATTTTTGTAGATGGTGGAGAGGAAATGGCAAATACCTCGGAATTGGCGAGCGTCAGACTTGCCAATGTCGGCAGCAAGGCGAGTGTGAGCGATGTCGAGAGGGTAGATTATGACAAGAGTTGTGCAGCCTGCTGCTGCTCCTGCAATGAAGTTCGAGGCTGTGGCAGGGATGAGATGGTTGGATGTTGGTGATTCACTGCCTCTTAGCATGGTTCTGAACAGATCCTGCAACAAGCGCCTTGAATGAGCATGTACAAACAGTAAATCTGTTATTTTGGGTAATATTATCGTTGGTAAAACACCATGAGAATCTCATCCTGAATATGCCTAGTAAGTTCAAAAATGACATCTGTGATGATAAGGGATGACTCTGGCGACTGTATCTCCTCCCATTTGTCTATCGTACCTATCTTCAATCACATTAATATATCTTCTAGATAGTTATTTGTTTCGCAAAACCCACCATATTATCTTTCCAAACACTTAATCAGTAGTATTTCTAAATAAATGAAAGACTTATATTGATCTTTTGCTTTGATTTTTGCATCTCTCCATCAATTGTCTTAGTAGATAAATATCTACAAAGAGGGGACCTTCATGACATACAACTACACCGGTTTCCGTATACAATTGTTTTATTTAATCTATGCTTAATCGTGGTATCCAAAAGTTTTATTGCATGGTTCATAGTTAGGTAAACACAATAGTTTGAACAACTTTGTAAAATTTATCTTCTTTATACTAATCCTACACTCGTTAGGCATTTTCTTTCGCATTTTTTAGTATCCCTATTGAATAGCTTAGTTAACTTCTAACCCATAACTCCAAGATATTGCATACTTTCATAGGAATATTGAAGTTTCAAAGCGATGTGTGGCTTTTCATTTCATTTTTCTCTTAAAGCATTTACCTTCGCTTGTCCTAATTTTCTGGAAGTACCTATCGTTCTCGCCATGCACTGCCTCGTCTGATCATTTCTCTCTCTTGAGTGATTATCTTATACAATATATGGACATGTGATTATCTTATACAATATATGGAAATAAACTACATCTCATTTTAATTTCATCACTTACTAGGACTGTACTGTATTCACTCTTGATACATCTAACATTATTTAATGTCTACTCTTTTTTGTCTAATCTGGGCAAGGATTAGATATACGTCCTTCTTGCCCTCCCAAATTCAAGTTTCTCATGCACAAGTCCTAGCTTTTTAGCCTCACTAACTAACTACTTTCTTCCCTTTCCTTCTAGAGAGGAAATTAAAAAATAAAAATAAAAAATGTCAAACATAGTACATATGAAATCATATAACAATGACATGCAATATGCGCATAGTAGAAACTAGATACGATAAGGATTGAAGTTAGATTATATCAAAAGCCTGATCCAACTAGACATAACAGGAATTCAGTCTAGCATTTTCAGTAAATCTCCTGAAGATCAATCACTCATGAATTACCATCCATTTGAAAGACATTCGTTTAAAAAAATTCTGAAGTACGAGAAAATGTTTTGGCACATGAGAAGTTATGCTACCTAAGTTTGAAGGCAGTCTTTCACAAGTCTTTCTACATACTCCAGTGTACATATACCACAAAAGATCTAAGTATGAATAGATGGGTTCCACATTATAAGCATACAACATATAAAAGAATAATTGAGAGGACAGGTATGCTCCTAAAGGAGGTGGCCAATGATAACAACATTTAGTATTAGATCTCAAGCAAAGTGCATATAGAAGGATTTAATGCTTCATTCCATAAGTATCGATTTCCAGGCTGATCAAGTCACGGCTATAGTTGAAATTTAGCAAAATTGAATATGAGAAGTAAGAAGATTTCATCACATCTGATATAGAGTAAAGTTTGGAAGTTTTCTTTCAAAGTAATAAATGTCATTTAATTTATTTTTCATGCCAGAGCGTATATGGTAGCCCACAAAGCCTAGGACATGTATGTTGGGTCGCAGAAGCATAACTCAGAAAATAGGGTCTCACTAACTAGACTGAATTATCAAAATTGACTGCGACAACATTGTCACAGAGATTGAAGAATAAAAGGGTTCATCATGGACACTGAACGTCACATGCCCTGGTACAATCATTGGCGAGCTAGCGCCTTCAATTAGGGACTGAAGTCGGATCAGATATCTCTTAACTCAATTTGTAGTGATGTGCCAACCTGTAAGCGAATAAGAAGCCCTGTCCTGTAATCCATCCAACTCCTGAAACTCCTTTTACAATGCCAACCAAACACCGGTTGCTGACTTTAAGGGGGTATTATAGTCCGAAAGCTGCTTAAAAGTCAACAACAATAAAGCTTGAGATAGACCAAATTTTACATTCACATATGAAAATGCCTTCTGGGTCACCGCAAACTCCTAATTCTAATTGGACGAGACGATCTTTTGGATCTAAGCATTTATGATACAAATCATAAGCTCAATTCCCAAACAGATTGTAGGACAAAAACATATCCTAACCTAAAAAGAGACATTATCTGATCCAAAGAAAGAATGATACAACTACAAGGTGTAATGAGTCAGCAATGTATCACATAAAGCTAAACCGGCACACCAAAAATTTATGATCCATTGTCCAGTCCCAACAACATGATCTCTTGTTCGATGTTCTCAAGCCTAAGTCAATGGAAGAAGCTACACAACATAAAGCCACTTAGGTTATAAATGTAAATAAATAGGTAGCAACACAGGAGCCATCCTTTTATCCATGATCATAGCTTACTTCGAACGTCCAACCCTAGAAGGTTCCTGTCCCTATACAACTCAGAATTCAACCCCCAAATGAACGAACTGCAATACATGGTTAATAGAAACTTATTGATCTCTTTCCCCTCTTTTGAGGTAAAATAAAGCACGAGCAAGGCGATGATGACCTAGCTAATTGTTATGCCTTCACTCCTCTTCCCTAATTTCCACCAAAATTAACAAACAAAAAAAAGAACCATCCCAAAAAGGCAAATGCTAACAAAACAAACTCCAAGATCAAAATAACATTTTAAAAAAAGTCATAAATGTGAAACAAATAGATTCAGCATTTGAAGTAACTTTGACGTCCTTGGCAATGTTAATCCTTTCGACTACAGTAGTAACTAATGATTACTGTTTCGATCATCTTCCCTAATTCCTACCAAAATTAGCAAATAAAATCAACAAAGAAAAAGAGGCAATGCTACCAATTCGAAGAACCAAGAACCAAAAAAACGTTGCGATTCATATTACCTTGAGGGAGAAATTTAGGGCAACGGAGGGATAATATCGAATAACTCCGGTCCCATTCCCTCTCCACAGCGAGAGAACCCCCTCATCCCTCACCGTCCTCGCGATGCAGTCGAAGAACCCCCTGAACCGGCGGCGGCGGTGGCTCCTCCTCCTCCTCTTCTCGATCCTCATCTTCTTTCATTCCCTCCTCTTTTTTTTTTAACTTCTTGGATTTTTTTCGGATCAGGGCTAGTAATTTTTTTTTTCCCTTTTTAATTTTTTAATTTTTTCGTTTTTTATTTTTTGGATTGGATAACTAATAGCGGGCTTTGCGGGGGGGCTGCAATTAATTTCCTCTCCCGGAGGGTGGCGACTGATGATCGCTTTCTTCCTCGGTTTCCCTTCTTTTCCTCTTCCCTCCTCGTTGAGGATATAATAAGTCGACTCCAGAGAGGCACGTGAGTTGCGGGTGGGTGTCGCTATATTGTGGGATTTACTTGAGACAGGGATTTATCTTTGTTAATTAATTATAATTATTGTTGTTGTTATTTACTTTTTAGAGACCGATGATGATGACACTGCTCTATTTTGGCATGAGATGACCTAACCAGCAAATGGATGAATAGTTAGTTTGGCTACGGGCTTGTCCCCCTCAGTTCAATTATCATGTAGACAAACACCTAAGGAACGTGGATAAGGATTCCTATGCGCTGCTGAGTAGGCTGCTGCGTATTAACACTCTGGTTCTTTAACTACGGCCACATTCAGAGGATCACATGAGAGAACGAGAGGGACGTCGATGGCAGGCACATTGGAGCGAGTTTCGACTGTTTGCATCGTTAACCACTGTTAGCGGCGCATGCTTGGTTGTCTTCGTCAGGATCTGAAACCTTGGAAAGTCGAGGACGAAGACAGGATCTGAAACCTTGGAAAGTCGAGGATCGAGGGATCGACGCGTTGCTTACCCTTTTGACAATGAGGGAAAGGCTCGGCCTACAAATCTCGATTCACGCTTGCTTGATCGTCTACCTCAGGATTTGATATCTTGAAAAGTCTAGGATTAAGGGATCGATGCCCTACTTTCCCTTTAGGCAGTAAAGGTCATGCTAGGGCCACCAATTTGGTCCTTCTCAGGTACGAGGAGACAACAAGCATCAAGAGTTTTGAGCATCACCACTGCTTCCGGCTCTGAACGATGTAAGATTCCGGGTGGGTGTAGTCTTGACAATCATCCATTATCAATTGTGTATGTAATACGTCACGTAACCGAGGCAGAAGCATTTGATTTGCTTGCCAGTATGAGAACAGAAGACCAAGATCAGAAGGGGGGAAAACATTCGTTGGTTTATCACAATAATACCGGTCTCTATCTAAGAACATGATGTTTGTCTGACGTAAGAATCCAGTTAGCACATTGCAACTGGGAAAAGCAGCAAGATTCATTCCCTAAGACATCCACAAAGCTAGAGCAGCCATAGATACCTCAAAAACCTAAACCCTTGATTGGAGTTTAGGGTCATCTCAAAATAGCGAGAAATAAAATATGGACAGGCATAGAAATGGAATGTCAAAAATGTAAGGAATTACTCTTCTACTCAATAAATGCCAGAATACTACTCAATACCAACCGAGTCAGGCCACAAGACAAGGGGATTCACCAGCCTTTCTGCTAATCAACTCCAACAACCTTTTTACTACAAGCTGAACATCCATCGACACAGATAACAAAGGTTTACATGCACAGCAGATTCTCTACCACCTGCCAGCAATATGCTGTTAATAATATTAATATGGTTGAAACCTGCGGCCACGAGAATTATCATTGCCTTTGCGCCCACCGCTACTCGAGCTGCCACCCCGACCACCACCTCGCTGTTGTTGAGGCATTGGTGCTCCAGGCTGCTGCCTGCAAATGACGTACATACAGACTATTAAGACATTGTGAAGTGATGCCCTGAACAGGATTTAAAAGTCCAGGTGTTCAAGTGGTTTATTGAAGTGTAAATTCCACAAAACTTCCCAAAACATTGAGGTGTCCCCAACAAAGCCCTCTGAACTTTGTTTTTCCCACAAAACCCCAAAATTATTGCCACAAACCCAAGCCGCCCATTTTTTTTTTTTTTGTTTAATTCATTTTCCCACGGAACACACAGAAAGCATTTCCTGCAATTAGAGGACCTTATTATCTTTCCAATCCTGTTATTTCCATGTCTTCTTTGGGGTCATCTTCTCTTCTTCTCCTTGCTTTTTGGGGGTCTTGTGAGAAAAAGTTAAGTTTTGCTGTTATTTGATACTCTTTGGAGTTTTGGGGCTTTGTAAGCCCAATAAAGTTCATGGGGTTCCAGGAGATATGCCCCCAAAGTTATTGGTGGTTTTGTAAAATTTACCCTTCCTAGACTAAAGAAATAACGTTCAAGTGAGTATTGCATTGGAGAATAATGTAAAGAGGACAAATGGGTGGTCAAGATCACCACGTAAGTACATCTCAGTGATCACATGCAAGTTTGGTGTTGACTTGGATAATGCTTGGGAATCTTACTGTCTAATTGAGGGAATAGCAAATCTAGTTCTGTTTCATTTGTTTTGTACTTACAGCACATAGCCAACACGCCCATCTGGCAATATCATAGGCACCATTGCCATGCCACCAGGAGTTTGCCCTCTTCCATACATCATAGGCTGCAATAACATCAGGTATGGCATCAACTACTTTGAATATTGAGATCGGTACAGATTTGCATCATTGTAACGTGATAATCAGTATATTATACCGGCGCGAAACCTGGAGCAAGTCCACCAAAGGTCCCTCCCATGACACCATATCCACGAGGTGCAAAATTGGGTAGGAGGGCACCCTTGTGAGCATTAGATCCCGTATCAACTTTCTTATCAGACGGTGGCTTTGCAAGAGAACATTCAAGAACGTCACCTATCAATCGGAATAAACGAAAAGATGTTTAGCAGAATAGAGATATCATGAAAGTAGCTAGGAATAATGTCCCTATTGTCACACCAAATCTTCAAAGTTGTGGAAAGGGCTAAGGGTTGGAATTTTGTACTCTAACTTGCGCCGATAGGTTTGATGGCCCTTTCATGGGCCAAAACCTGGACTCACTAAGCAAAGCAGTATCTTTTTTTAATCCGCTTTAGAAATTCGTGGCAAGTAAAACTCGAAAAATGGGTTAAAAACTCGATGTTGTGGTGAGGGGTAAGGGTTGCAAGTTCAAACACCTACAAATAAGTAATCACCTCTCAGCTCATATTTCTCAGTATTCTTCAGCGCCTTCATGGCTGTAGAACGCTCTGCAAAGTGCACAAACCCAAACCTCTTCTCCTGTCCAGACTTGGCAGGGGGAAGCACCACCTTTGTTATCTCACCATGATGCTCAAACAGCTTCCTCAGCTGATCCTGAGTCACATCCTTTGGCAAGTTTTTTACATAAACTGCCTTTATCTGCAGAGAGGATAGACACCAGAAATGATCCAAAATGTATATAACAAAAAAATTAAACAAAAGGGAATAGGAACAAGCAAAATGATTGCTTAAATTGATACCTGAGAATTGGATGAAGAGTCTCCACTTTTAGGATCAGCCCAACTAACAGTAGGCGCATTATTGTCTAGCTTGAATTTCGCGCTCGACATTTTCTTTTTTGAATATTCTGCACATGCATGGTTGTAGTACTCTACAAATGCAAAGCCACGATTACGGCTTGAATTTTGGGGATCCTGTAACATTAAAACGATTTTGTCAAGCTAACTTTTATGGGGCCAAATCCAATTAAGGTAGAGCAAATCACCCACTTCTGAAGATTAAAAAATAAAGAAAAATTCACCAGATGTTGAACAGGCAGGAGTATGAGAGAAGTGAAACTGTGAGCGTGTGTAATTTTTTGAGCTTGTGTGCGTGCGTGTGTGTGTGTGTGAGAGAGAGAGAGAGAGAGAGAGAGAGAGAAAGAGAGAGAGCTATTACCATCATCAGATCAACAGTTACTACTCCTGGACCAACCTTTGTCACTGCCTTTCTCAGATCATCCTGCAACCAGTTTCTAGGAACATTACCTATGAACAGCCGATGCTTTGCTTGAGAAGTAGAGCATTTGATCTTTTTCCCCTGGTAAAGATAAAGCTTTTTTAATTAAAAAAATTTATCTTTAATTATACTGCATTGGTAGTAAGTAGTAACAACATCCGTCTCACCTAGAAAATATGCATCTAGTGGTTTGCATTTGCAAACTTATAGACTATAAAACGTTAAGACGTGCGTGTGTGTGTGTGTGAGAGAGAGAGAGAGAGAGAGAGAGAGAGAAAGAGAGAGAGCTATTACCATCATCAGATCAACAGTTACTACTCCTGGACCAACCTTTGTCACTGCCTTTCTCAGATCATCCTGCAACCAGTTTCTAGGAACATTACCTATGAACAGCCGATGCTTTGCTTGAGAAGTAGAGCATTTGATCTTTTTCCCCTGGTAAAGATAAAGCTTTTTTAATTAAAAAAATTTATCTTTAATTATACTGCATTGGTAGTAAGTAGTAACAACATCCGTCTCACCTAGAAAATATGCATCTAGTGGTTTGCATTTGCAAACTTATAGACTATAAAACGTTAAGACATGACGGAGCAGCAAAATCTACTTTCCAGAGAACTAAGAAAAGTCTAACTGCAAAAAGAATAAAATAATTTTATACTAAAGAGTTTCTACCTTAAGTTCAGTGTTATTGAGATCTTTTATGGCTTTGGCAGCCAATTCTTTTGTTCTGAAAGTGACAAAGGCAAATCCTTTGTTCTCAGATGAATCCTTGCCTTTCATCATCCTAACCTGTCATCATCAGAATCGGTTATTAAATAACATAAAGGTAAACCATATCAAAAGTTTAAAATTCATCAGGATCACAGGTATACCTCAGCAACTTCACCAACCGACTCACAAAAGCCCTTCAAATCCTCTTCTGTTGCATCAGAAGGAAGTCCGCCAACATAAACCTCAGACCCATGGGGAGGACGAGCAAGGAGTTCAGCATGCTCCTTAATTTCATCGTCATCCCTATCATCTTCCTCATCAACTTTCATGCTATCACTACCTGTAGTTGCTTCTGCATCACCATCATTAGCAGCAATAGTCTCTTCTTCGTCTTCTTCATCATCCTCTTCCTCCTCTATCACTTCCTCTTCTTCCTCTTCTTCTACCTCCTCCTCAACCTCCTCATATTCAACCTCCTCTTCCATTGCTTCCTCATTTTCCTCAAGGTTCACCTGCTCCTCTGGCTCGATTGGCTCGACTGGCTCTACAGGTTCAGCTGCCTTGGCAACTGCAGCATTTCTTCTCGTCCTCGGCATATTATGTATCTAAAAGAAGCTTGCAAGGCCACTGTGACAGAAGCACGGCAGGCAGAAGCATTTGCAAGAGGAAGCATACCAACACAGAAAGGAGGAAAAAAATAGAAAGGCCAACAGGAGGTGCAGAGTAAGAATCTTGATTCAATCCAAGCCATGGAATGGCTCAAAGGAGTTTCAATGTGAAAGAATTTATGTAGCAGACGATAACAAAAGTAGTAATAACAGAGACAGGAAAGAGAAATCATATCACAATGACAAACAAAGTGGACGATATCAACCGGAGGAAACCGATAAGAATTTCTTGCTAATTAGATACCAGGGTGACGTCCAAAATATACTCTCTGGTTAAGTGCATATCTATTTATGTTCCGGGCATTGAATCAAAAAAAGAGGGGGGAAGAACAAAAAAAGCAATGATGTGAGAAATATGAAAAATTAAAGTATCGGCATAGATTTAATAAGAACAAATGCAAACAACTATAACTTTTTCTTGTATAGGCTCAGTTTGTCCATTTCCACCAGCATCATTAAACACTATATGAAGGGTAATCCAGAGTTTGAAAGGCAAGAGGCAACAACAACAAAAGAGACAGTCCAAGTAATATTAATGGTAGCAGACAGCTGCATTGCATAAATACAATTAACAGATAACACTTTTCAAGTTTTAAAATCCAAATGTATTTCAAGACATGACAGCAATAACAATACAGAAAGTCGGTAGTCGCACAATGCGTATCCAGTTATCAGCATATAAAACACACTAAATGAATCAAGGAGGAATCACAATGCCTTGTACATATATAATAGCTACTTGTATTCAAGTGTCCAGTCGGATAATAGTGGATAGCATTTAAAGCTTTTTAAGTCACAAAGAAAACATAGGTGTGTTTTAAATTTAACAAAATTAGTTCCGAGTTACAAAGGTATAACTGTCTTAGACCTCAATTTTTGTGGCTGATCATACACGCTACCAATAAGCAGTAATCCCTTGTAAGAGGGATTAGTGACTATAGAATGTCAATTTAGAACTGCGTGTGAGAAGAACTCATTCAAACAAGTAACGATGGAAAACTAATGTTCCTTCTTGCTTATTCTGTTTACCGCTAGAAACAGGTGGGATTATTTAAGCCACATAAAAATCAACCAGTTTTAAAGAAAGAAAAGATCATGCATCTAGCAGTTCAGGAAAAAGTTATCATCTACTCGTATGACTGCAAAATTACACTGACATAAAATTTTCCAGCGGAAAAGCGAAACAAAACTTGTTTCTTCATAACATCATCAGGCGAAAGTAAAAGAAAGCAATACTCTTTTTTTTTCTCCATTCTTTTGACTTCCAATAAAACTAGGATCAAACCCGGCAGCTCTTTCACTTGAAAACTGACGATGGAAAGTGATGCCAATGTAACTAAACTTGTCAAAGCTACAAAACTGTAGCAGCTCCCAAGAAGAAATGAAACATCATTCTCCCAAACCAGCTAAACCTCATCTAAGTAGCTCATTCTGCGCTCGCGCGCGAGGAAACTTGTGCAGCCATTAATTTTTATCCCCAAAATCTTTCGACCATGATACTAACGGGCTCTAACCGAAGCCACTCTCAACGCTTGTTGAGCTTATTAGTTCAAATTTTAGAGAGTAACTAACTATTTTAAATGCAAAAAGATGAAGCAAAAAACAAACTAGTACGTAACGCATAAAATCCTCCAGAACCCTAAATGCGAAACCCCCAAAATGACACCTCTCTGTCAGCTGGGTCCAAATTAGAAACCCTAGAGTCCCTCAAAATCCCTAATTTAGCGACTAAATCTAAAATATTTAAGGGATCTTTCACATTTGACTCCACTCACTTCCAAAACTTCGAAGAAAATTCACTGAATCGCCATAAAAAAAAGGCATTGAAGTTGAGAGTATTTCGCATAAAAAAGGCATATTTTAAAAAAAAAATGAATTGAGCTGATGCAATTAAGGAAGGGAATCATAGGACGGAGGAGAGCTCACCAGAGAGGAGGATGAAAGGAAATCGAAGAGAAGCGAGAGGCGAAGCTTCGGGGAATTTTTGGGGTAAATTTCTATCTGTTTCGTATATAAACATGGGAACCCTAAAAGTCAGAATCGTATGTATATTACATGAATACCCTCAAGACCTAACTGTTCGAATCGGGTCCTCGATTTAAACCGGACCCGTTATGTATCAAACGTAATTTTTTTCCCCCTTTTTTCTGGTTTCTATAATCTTTTACTTCAATTAAGAATATTTTACTAAATTAGAATTTGTTTAGTCTAACAATCTTTGATTACACAATCTTTTGAAATTTACAGAACTTCCTTATTAAAATATTTGTAAGGTGGTTGAAGAGGATTATTATTTCATGGGCATAAATGAAATTGAGAAAAAGGAACATAATGGGAAGAATTTTTGAACGATGTATACGTATGACCAAGAAATCTGAATTTCCTTAAGAAATCTACATTAAAATTTTAAAAATTAGCAAATCGTAAGTGGATGAGTAATAGTCTTGGTTAATCTTTTATTTTATTTTATTTAAAAAAAAAGTTCTCCACCTCGATCGTCTCTCTTTCTCCTATGCAGATTCAAGTTGAGTAAGCAAACCTTGGGAATAAGACACAACAATCTTAATCTCTGAAAGAACTCACACTTTCCAAATTAATCTTACAATAGGCAACATTAAAACCTCCAAAATACAAATATGAAGAATACAACCTATTTCTTTCACAGCTGTGGCAATACTTCTTCTCTCGTTACCACGGCCTCCTCGACAAAAATTTGAGCTCCTACTTGGTGGTGTATCCATATTCACTGCATATAATACCTTTCGATACAATTCAATAAAATCTGCGGATGCTAATTTCGCAGAAATTGTGCACAAAACCAAGCAGACATCATCAGTACACTGAAAATGTAGATAAGGTTCGGCTTCCTGCCTTTCACAATGATTCACCCACAGCGAAGAATCGGAACTTTTACAAAATAAGCTGGATAATAAAGAGAGTAACCTTTAGGGATGCATGATACAAATATTTTGTTCAGCTAAAACAAGACATCTAGCAGTTAGAACCTCTAGAAATGCTTTTCATAGATCCAGTTCATTCCTCTGCAATGGACTCGGAAGAAACACCACTTTGTAATTTTCTTGCGCGGGAGTGAAGAAAATTCTAGGCATCTAAGCCTTATCTCCGACCTGTAGTAATTTGAACTTGCAGTCATAATAAGACTATGCTTCGAGAGTATTATAAGCAATCTTTTGAATAATCTCTTATAAATATATTTCCAAAATGACTTCATATTCTTGAAAATACAATCCTAGTTTGTCTTGATGATACCTGGTTAGATTTTAGGAACTCTAATACAACTGAAACCAGTTCTACTTGATGAGCAGAATACCCATGGTCAGCACCCTCAACAATATGCAATTTGTGGTTAGGTATGAGCTTCGCAAACTCTGATGCATCTTTTACTGGTATAATTTCATCAGCTGAACCATGAACCGTCAATACCCTGTCCATTATAATGCCAAATTTAAAATCTGTTAATAATAATAAACCGACGGAAAAAAAAAAGAACGAGAGAAAGGATATGAATCTATAATGCAACTGGTCATTCATATGCTATGAAGTTTAGAAGATGAACCATATCTATAAAAATAATGCTCCTTTAAGTAATAATGGCATTTTAATCTAACCTGCAATCTCTGTCAATCGAACGTGCAGCTGCATCCATGTTAGTGTTTAGCCGATCCATTAAACTTTCTTTGGTTACTCGATATTCAACTTCTCCTATAAAAGATTTAAATGTTAGCATCCCATTTATCATCAAAAACCAGTATCAATTTACATATTAGATGCAAATTTTGGTAAACAAGATGTAAATGAGCATTCTGAGTCGTAGAGTTTAAAACAATTAGAAAATGCCTAATATTATATCACAGAAAGATGCTTCTTTCTCTCATTTGGTAGATCACCATGTCGCAGCAGTGTGAAAACTTCAAAGAATAGACTCTTAAATATTTCCTATCCTCTTATAATGCATTGGACATGCCACTGGATAATAAATAGATAATTGACTCAAGTTTATACCGCTACACCAAAAATATTAAAGTATGAAGAGGACCACTTTTGTTTCTTAACCATATGTTGTTTCTAGAGTTATCAAAGTTCTGTATTGGGGATTACCACTTTTTTTCTTAATGTCAATAAACCCATCTTTCTTGATTTGCTGCATAAATTCTTTCCCAAGGCGATCCTCGATGCCTCCTTTTAAATCATAACGGCCAGAAACATTGATGACTGAATGGACATCATGATAGATAGAAGCATATAAGAGCACCACATCTCCTCCTGCAAGAATCTCTACATCACTGATTAAATTCTTCAAGAGCATAGAGTTTCTAAATTTCAAAAACACCATAGGTTAAATGTAGTTGCAGTGCACGCTAATGTCAATTAATTGTGCTGAATATCTGTCAAATATTTCGGAGAGCCTTACTGCTCAATAGATGGCTGACATTTTGATGGAAAACAAGCTTGTTGATGATGATGATGATGATGAAAATGCAAAGTAGTACACATTTAGACCATTGCCGGTGGTGATCATAGAGACAATGACACTGGTTTCGTCTGCCAGCACAATAAGATGCAGCTGTTGCTTAAAATATTCAGAATAAACAAGAAATCAAGTTCAGTGCAAAACTGAAATGCTCCTCAAGAAACATATCATCACAAATAATTACGATATCTGCAAGATCAACAATAGAAACTTTCATCAAATAAATGAATACAAGGTTTAGTTTGTCCTTGATAGAAGATCAGTTTTTTTTTTTTTTTTTTTGAAAATATAGCTTCAGCATGTCTCCATTCTATATTTGATGAGGAGGATTGCTTCAACATTACAACATGAACTTAAAAGCAAAAAATTTGAATGATAAGCACTGACCCTTGCTGTGCCCAAGAATAGCAGAAACTTCCTGTGTTTTGGATAAGTGTTGGATTACAGCATGTAAATCTTCTACTTCTTTGTGATAGTTTCCATACTCGAAAGTGCCTTCACTTTCCCTGGAAGATGAAAGATGTATCGCACTATCACTGTAGGAAGATGTATAGTAATGACGTACGAAAAAATGTTACGGCTATATGATACCGATTAGAAAGAAAAGTTTGCAACAATTATTAATTTGAATGGCATGCAACACATTATGAAGATAACTTTTAGGTTGGACATGAAACTCTAGCGTGCTAGGAAATTAATAGACCAAGACTAAAAGAACATAAAGGTTGCATAAATTTTATTCCAACTATTCTAGACAATTATCAACCTTCAATGCGCAGATTACACACTCTTGTTTTGTAAAGCACTTCCAGCTCTATGATATTAAAATGGACATTCATTTCTTTCAAAAAGTGGTCAGAACAGAGGACTAATTTCCACAAGAGTGCTTTGGTGTTTCCGGTGACTTTCAAATTAGTAAACGAGCAAGATTTATGTACTTTGGTAATTTGCAACTTTATTAGCTTGAACATGGTAAGTGTTGGCGTCTGTGGTTAAATTTGGAATAATACAGATATAAAGCACCAAAAACTAAAAAGAAAGCTGAAGTGCAGTAATTTAAAATTTTTAACTCAGCTGTTGTGCGTTTGTAAAACGTTGTGCTTAAAGCAATATTTGGTCTACTCCGGTGTAAGGATCCCAAGGGCAAATTGCTTTCAGGAACAGCAGTACGGTACTCTGGTGTGCACCGACCCAGTACTGTCAAGATCTCCTCGATCTATAGGACCTTTCGGTCAAGGCAACGATCTCCTCAATCTATAAGACATTTCGGTCAAGGCAACGATCTCCTCGATCTATAAGACCTTCTCGGTCTAGGCAGTGTTCCTACTAGCACCAGCTATATTTTACAACATATATATCAGTATATATATTTTGTATTGGTTGTTGTTTTTGGAATGAATTTTTCTTAAGAGTTTGGGCTCTATTTATAGCGTTTGGGAAAACATTACGCACTAATAAAATAATATTATTTTATTATGCATGTGGGGCCAACGTCCTAATTTTTCTTCGAGTTTGGTACCACTGAAGAAAAATAGAACCCATATTGTGATTAATTTTCAACAAGTTAGGCTAAGGTCACTTGTGGTGGGGCCCACAAGCTTTAAAAAAACTATCTAACAATCCCTCACAAGTTTTTTTTATTTTAAATTAATGTCGTGTAACAGTATCGTCGTTTCAATCGTTATGCATAAGGTAGATGTCGTAAGGACTTGAATTCCCCTTAGACCAACTGAATAAAAAATAGGTGCATGGTGTCGCAGAGACTTGAACTAGCACATATCTAAAAATCCAGCGATCACACAAGATCAAACTCATATGTGGTAGTTTTTACTTTGAACCACACTTGCTTTTGCCTTTGCCTTTGTCTTTGCCTTTGCCTTTGTCTTTGCTTTTGTCTTTGCTTTGCATATTTATGGCATGTGCATGTCCTGGTTTCTGCTAGGGCTCTATGTATCTTTCCGTAAGACACCATAGGAGACGGTCAAATCTCCACCCATGCATAGATGAGTTCTTTCGGCATGTTTCCTATCAAACATCCCGCATCCGAAATGCTTTAAACTTATTAAGGCTTAAGAACTATCATCTCTCATGATAGGATTCTAGGTAAAAAGATCAAAGTTTTACCCGGATAGTTCAGCTAGGTAAGGATAGTACTATAGGGAGATCAAAGTTGAATTAAGTACCACATTTCTTACGGAGCGCGTTACGCAACCCCTAAACCTTGCCTTAGATACCGACTAATCCAAAAAAATTTGAACCCCCATTAGGATTTCACTTATAACTCTTACTTGACTTTTGAACCATTTATTTTGTCATTAGTAGCATAAGCTTTGAACTAATAACTAGATGTAAATGATAAGTATTTGTAAGACTCACTAAACTTTGTAAATCTTACTTGACTTTTGAACAAATTATCTTATCATTAGCAGCATAAGCTTTGAACTAAAAACTTGATATAAATGGTAAGTATTTGTAAGACTTACAAAACTTTAAAACTCATTTCAGCTGACGTCCTTTCGACTATATCTTTTTTCAGACCCTTAGTCAAAGGATCAGTCACATTCTCTGAAGATCGGACGTCAATCGCAAAGATGACTCCTTGACAGATGAGCTCTCTCAAATAGTCATGCTTCAGACGAATGGTCTGTTTCTTTCCATTGAACATTGAGTTCGCTATCACAGCACTCGCCGCTTGATTATCACAATAAATAGTAATTACGCATTGCGATTCTATCAATAGAAGGTCTCAGAGAAAACAACTTAGTCATTCAGTTTTATCTTTTATCTCTTGTAGCACAGAGTGCGAAGAATTCAGATTTTATCGATGACTATGCAATCATAGTCTGCTTCTTAGACTTCCACGAGACGGCAGCCTCACCCGTAGTAAAGACAAATCCTTCAGTAGATCTGCACTCATCTGGTTCTGAACATCAGCTCGCATCTGAATAGCCTTCGATTACAGCCGGATATCCAGTGTAGAATAGGCACAAAGCTATAGTTCATTTCAAGTATCTCATCAATTTCTGGACAGCATCTCAATGAAGCTTTCTAGGATTACGTGTGAACCTACTAAGCATTCCTACAGCGAATGCAATATCTGACCTTGTGCAGCTCATCGCGTAATACTGGTCTTCCAGTGTTGGTCGAATCTTCTTATTGTAATCGTATAGCACTGATAGTTCTGGCAGGTCGTTATAGCCATACTTTCTTAGCATGCTTTTGACATAATGAGATTGAGACAATCCAATACCCTCTTCAAAGTATATAATTTTGATTCTAAGAATTATGTTTGTAGTTCCAATGTCCATCATGTTGAACTGTGCTGAAAGAACTTTCTTGGTAGATATTACTATCTCCAAATCACTCCCGATGATGAGCATATCATCTACATAGAGGCAGATAACCACCATTTTTTCTTCAGCGATCTTGATGTATAGACACTTGTCAGATTCACTGACTTGATACCCATTGTTACGAACAACTCCATCGAACTTCTCATGCCAGAGTTTCGGTGCATGTTTAAGTCCATATAGAGACTTAACAAGTTTACAAACTTTACCAGCTGGAGCATCAAGTCCTTCTGGTTTCTCCATGTAGAGACTTAAGAAGTTTATACCTTATTTCTGAGAAAATCCTTTTGTCATCAGTCTTGTTTTGTACTTTTTAATAGTACCATCAGGACGAAACTTCTTCTTGAAGATCCACTTATAACTGATAGGCCTTGCACATTCACGTATATTCACCAGCTCCCAAATATGATTTTGGATCAATGAATTCATCTCATCCTCTATAGCTTCTTTCCACAGAAGTACGTCTGTTGACTGCATTGCTTCCTGAAAAATCTGTGGGTCTCCTTCCACATTATAGATGATGAAGTCATCTTTAAAATCTTTCTGTCTCCTGACACGCTTGGATGGTGTTTCAGTAACTTCTTTATCATTGCCACTTTCGATTTCTCGCGAAACTAGCTCCTCTTGTGCATCTGACGTACTAGCATTCTCTGCTATATCTTTGAGCAATAAGTATTTATTTTTGATAAACTTATCCTCAAGGAATTCTGCATCTCGAGCTTCAATGATGGAGTTGGTTCCAAGGTCCAGGAACCTACAAGTATTGTTATCTTTAACGAAGCCAAGAAACACACATTTGTTAGCCTTTAGTCCGAGCTTAGGTCTTCTGATATCTGAAATTCGAACATATGCGAGAAGCCCCCACACTTTGAGATTATCCAAAGGGTCTGAATATCCCAACCATAACTGATGAGGAGTATTATCAGTTTTGGAGTAGGGTACTTTGTTTAGAATCCAGTTTACCATCAGCAAAGCATCTCCCCAATAGCAGGTAGGTAAACCAGATACGATTAGCATCGAATTTACCATCTCGATCAATGTGTGATTCTTCCTTTCTATAATCTCATTAGATTACGGAGAATACGGAGCAGTAGTTTCAGCAATGATTTCATGCTCCAATAGATATTGGTTATCTTCTTATATTTTAAAGCTTGTGGGCCCCACCACAAGTGACATTAGCCTAATTTGTTAAAAATTAATCACAACGTGGGTTTTATTTTTCTTCAGCGGTGCTAAACTCGAAGAAAAATTAGGACGTGGGCCTCATATGCATAGTAAAATAATATTATTTTATTAGTGCATAGTATTTTCCCAAACGTTATAAATAGAGCCCAAACTCTTAAGGAAAATTCATTCCAAAAACAACAACCAATACAAAATATATATATAAATATAGCTGGTACTAGGTCGGTGCACACCAGAGTACTGTACTGTTGTTCCTGAAAGCAATTTGACCTTGAAATTCTTGCACCAGAGTAGGCCAAATATTGCTTTAAGCACATCATTTTACAAACGTACAGCAGCTGAGTTGAAAATTTTAAATTACTGCACTTCAGCTTTCTTTTCAGTTTTTGTTGTTTTATATCTGTATTATTCCAGGTTTAACCACATGCGCCAACAGTAAGAAACCCAAAATTTCTGCTTAAAGCATGTATATAATAATAATAAGGAGCCATATGTGATTTACCCAAACCCAAAAATTGAATTAACTGAAGGCATGCTTGAAGACATCAAAAGAGCAAAAAGAAAAATTACAAGAAAAGTGCACCAAATAAACCACAAAATAAACTAAAGTTAAATTGCAGCTTACCCATTTCCAGAGAAATCAAAGTGAAAGGCACTAATTCCTCGTCTTGTTAAGGCACCAATAAGATTCAAAATTATTTTATCTTCCTGCATACAGCATCATTCGCTCAAATTACACACTCACAAGTGAACCAATTACTTATAAAAATGCCAACAATATGTAATTTAATCCACCTTTTTGCTTCGAAATCCATGGCACAATACCACAACCTCCTTCGACCCAGTTGAGTGCAACACCCCAACAAGCTTCTCCCCTTGCTTGTTTGGTATCTCCATCCTTTGTTGAGGAACAACTAAAACACACAGAAAAAACGAATCAAATCAAATATTTGAAACAAACCCAGATTAAATTATTATAGATTTGCGTGAGATACCGGGATCTTGATCGGCCATTGCCTCGGATGAGAGCGGCCGAGCCTGACAACGAAACGAAATAGGGTTTTTGGGAGTGGGTTGAATTGGGTTTTTGATCTGCTGGCTCTGGTGATTTGCTTCGATTGAGCGAGGGACGAGAGTGAGAATTTTTCGTGATGGGGCTAGGTTCGCAGAGAAAGTGAGGGGAGCTGCGACCATTTGGAAATATTTTACACGAACTTTATAAACGAATATTCCTGGGGGGAGAAAACAAAGATTGGACGCATTTTCCCAATTTCATTGGTTTGGGATGCATCAACACGTATTGAATGGACACAATTTCATTAGAAGTTTTTATATGGTATAAAATCCTATTATTCACAAAAAGGTGATTTTGTTAGTATCTCATTTGCATGCTCTGCCTTCGTCAATTTCCATCTGTAAATGGTATCCATATATAACTTGGTTTCTGATATAAAATTTGACTTATTAGGATGTGAAATTTGGTGCTGGAAACAACTTGGGCTCTAAGTTGTACATCTAAGCCGGTTCTGGTGGATTCAGGAAATCCTAAAAATGAACAAATATCATGGTGATGTGTGGATTGGGAACTTGTTTTGTCACGGGATTAATTTAACTAGTATAGTTACGGAATGTAACAATCTAGCAGATTATAGTGAGCTAATTTTTCAACAACATGTTCGTCTTAATTTGTTATCAACGGCTCTCTGATACTTATTTTATGTTAGGGAACCTATCATTTAAGGTGGTATGGGAATAAGACGCAACAGCAAATGTACATAATACCCTTCAACTTACTAGTTATAGTTTTATTAAAACTATTTAGTTCCCAATTAAGGTGGCTAGAAACAAAATATTAGTAGAGCTGTATTTTAGAGCAACGGAAATTACAATAACGCAACCGATTCTCCTTTGTTAATTGGAGGGGTCCGGATCCTCTACGGCCCAAGCTATATAGGAACGCTATAATTCGGGCCCACCGTTAGCTATTGACTAATCTTATAGCCACATATGTACTGAAGTTCTTTCAAAAATTGTTGGCTTCTCTGACTTATGGGGTGCTGGATGGGGTTACCACCGTTTAACTATTAAGAAATGATAGGGGCACACCCTTGTACACACCACCAACCACACTCCCTCACTATCTACAGTGCAAGGGCCCCACATATGATTTTTAAAAACAAATCACATGTGGGGCCCCTGTACTGTAGATAGAGGGAGAGTGTGGTTGGTGGTGTGCCCAAGGGTGTGTCCCTAACACCCCTCTTAACTATTTTCTAAAAGAGACTAAATAGTCACATCTCATCTCCTAAGCCAGACACCTTCCTTCTCCTTCAACCACTCGTCTCACCTAGGCCTGTGCATGCAGGCCGGCTCGGAAAACGGGGCCCTGGCCGAGCAAAACCGGAGCCCGGGCTCGGGCCCGGGTCGGCCCAGATTTTTCAACTTTTTTTATTTTTTAAAAAATCTCTTTAAATTTTAAAATATACATAAAAATTACAGAAAATGCTAATAAAAAACAATAATATTATAAAAATCTCTTTAAATTTTAAAATATACATAAAAATTACAGAAAATGCTAATAAAAAACAATAATATTATTAATAACTTGAAATGACATAAATTACAAACTAATAAAAAACAATAATATTATTAATAACTTGAAATGACATAAATTACAAATACAAAAATTATAAAAATGAAATATGATAAAAAATACTTCTTTATTAATAATCAGTAAATCATTTATAAGTATAAATTTATTTCGGAATCCATCGCATCACTATAGAGTACATCCCAACTAGGTTGGCACCTACTCACCTATATAACTATCATTTGCAACTATTTTCAAAATAATTCATTACAAATTTAAAGCTATGAAATAAAAATTATAATTTGATGAATATTGTTTAATCTTGATATTTATCTGCTAGTCCTAACTCTTCAAATTTATCTTCAATTCTAGCCATCCGATCGATGCCTTGCGTTCGCTTCTCGTACCTCTACAAATCTTGTAAGCACATCACCGCTTGTACAGTATACGGATCTAAGCATGTCCTGTGGTCGTCGATCAAATGTCCTGCTGTGCTGAAGGCGAATTCCGAAGCTACCGTCGAAACCTGCACTGTTAGCAAGTCATGAACCATGGTGGAAAGTATAGGATATGAAACTGATCTATATACTCTCCATCATTACAAAATATCTAAAGCATTCCCTTGACATTTAACTAAAGAAACAGAAAAATATTCATCTATTTCAGAAACATCTAATGATGATCCAAGTCCAGATCCACCAGTTAGCTCAGCTACCATTACATACTTATCTTTTCTTTCGAAGCCCGAAGCCTCATTGGTTGATCCAGCTCCTGCTGCTCTGTCAAATGCCGTCACGAAAATCACGCTTACTCTCAATAACTTTTACCTTGGCCTGAGCTTGAAGGTGTCGAAGTTATAGACTGTTGTGCAGCTACACCATGTCTAGCTGCATATTCATCATATAAGGTTTAAAAATAATTTCTAATAGCTAAATAATAAGAAGTAACAGTAAGGGTGGATCTATCATCTAAGTCTATAATCTGTTCACCATACAATAATTGTAACAAATTTCGGAAGGCCGATATCCTTCAAACATGGATCAATAAAACCCCAAACCAAAAAAATAAGAAATAGGCCTAAAATACTTATTAAATTTGCTCTCCATTTGAAAAATTATAGCTCCAAAAGTATCATTCATACGATATTTGTTAAAAAATTTGAATATTTAAACTTTGTAAAGCAACTAGAGTAATAGTTGGATAATAACAGGCAGATAATAACATTATAGCATCATAAAAAACTTGTAACATCTTATTTAAATTATATATAATTGTCCATTCATTTTCAGTTATTCCATAAGTGCTATCAAAGCTAGAACTAGAAGCATAATAATTTATAAAATTATTTATAACTTCTTTATATTCTATTGCCACACTTAACATTGCATAGGTGGAATTCCACCTATGGTCAACATCTTATGGAATTAGTCTAGGCTTATAATTTTTCTTTTACAAAATTATTTTCATCTTTTAATTCTTTGTTCAGAAGCATTATGCATATTAACAACTGTTCTAACTTTTTCTATCATGAGTTTAATTTCACTAAATGTACTTTGAACAATTAAATTTAAAATATGACAGATACATCTAATATGAAAAAGATCATCATGATATGGTAATGGCAGAGTTGTTTTGATAAAATCAACAGCTACATTGTTATTACTTACATTATCTAGTGAAAGAGAAAATATTCTTTGATCAACAGCTACATTGTTATTACTTACATTATCTAGTGAAAGAGAAAATATTCTTTGATCAATTTCTAGTTTTATAAGTTCTTCAATTATTAAATATCAATTTCTAGTTTTATAAGTTCTTCAATTATTAAATTTGCAATATTAATACCAGTATGTGACTCTTCATTTATAATAAAGGAAACAACTCTTTTAAACATTTGCTAATTTTTATCGATCCAATGTGATGTGATACATAAATAACCAGTTTGCGCTCTAGATGTTCAAATATCAGAAGTTAAAGAAAATTTACAGTTTAAATTTTTAAAATAAAAAATTATTTTTCCTTGGTCCTTCTGATAATGTTTTAAAATATCACGTTGACAGGTTTGACGAGAAAATTTTGTAAATACGGGATAAAAACCATCTCTAAACATATCTTTAAATTCATCATCTTCTACTAATTTAAAAAGAATGTTTTTAAGAATGATAAACCTGATTACGTATTTCCTGGCTCGGACAGCGTCATAATTCTAACTACCGAGACTACCAGAAGAGGAGAATTGGGAAATCATAGATTGTCGGATATCACCTTGAGGATTCTAGCATTTGTTGTGTTTTTCTATATGACGTTTGAGGTGGTTGGTGCTGCTCTTATGATGAGCTTGGAAAGTCTGGCCGCACAACGCGTATTTAGCCTTCTGGATGAGGATCCTACCGTGTTCATCCTTGGTGCAGATTCATCGCCACCGGATTCGGGATTAACACCGGTAGGATCGATAGGAATAACTATTGTAGGAGGACTCATTTTAAGATCGGTAGGAGATAGGCTTTGCTCTTCATGATCAGATTCGGAAGCCGTTTGATAGAAGGATTATAAAGTATAAGAGACTATTAGAGAGTATAAGATTGTATAAGAGAGTATTAGAGAGAAGTAGATGAGTTTTGGTGTGAGGAGAAGAAGTGAAAGCCCCCTTCTATTTATCGAGGCAGCCTCCTAGGCAAATGACCAAAAAACTCTTACAAAATAGTCGTTTTGACCGTTTTTAGGGGCAAAACGATCAAACGGCCAATAATGGCTTGTTTCTGGCCGGGCCAGGGTCAGGCCAAAACGATCAACACATTGATGGTGAATCAGTTTTTGCAAAACTGTCACCGATTTGGTATGGACGTCGCCCGGCCCGGACTTTGCCCGCGAAAATTACAAGACGGTCAGGCCTGGGTGACCGTTGCGGCCGGGCCGGGTTTCGGGTCCGAGCCACCCGGCCCAGTTTTCTATGCCCGGCCTGACCCGGGCTGGGCTCGGGCCGGCGGGCTTTTTGGACAACCCTAGTCTAATCTGAATGATCTCAATTATTTTGCAGCATCTTGTAAGCTCCTCCATTTCCCATTTTTTTATTTTAATAATTATTCTCGGGGGAAAATAGTACATCTGATAATTGGTGTGATCTTTCTTTAGGGAAAAAATTTCAAGTAGGGCAAAATGAATATAGATTCTTCAATTTGTAGTCCTCAATTGCCATCTATTTCTTCAATTGATCATGAAGTTGATACACTTGGTGCAGGAATAGAAAGGTAAGATGATATACACATAATATTTCATTAATTTTAGAAGCAATGTTGCATCACGATTTTATTCATTGTTAGTTTTAATATGGAAAAGCGTATGCAAAGGGGAAAATAATATGGATATTTCGATGGCAATTAGAATTTTACAACAGTAATAATTTGAAATATTTTTATAAGAGCGGGATATCACATCATCTCATCATTATTTAATTCATGGCTAGATTGTGGTTAGTTCTTTAATAAATTAATTAATTATTCTAATCATCTTTGCCCGCATCATTTTCCCTTTCGGAGCATCCAAATAGCTATGAGAATTTTACCATCTCTTAAAAATTATTTTATACGTTACAATTAGTTGAGTTCATTTGTAATTTTCTTTGTTTATAAGGGAATCTTGTCTAGCGGGAGTAGCAACCAGAGTGACAAATAGAGTTTGAATCCTCTAAGGACCTAGCCATCTGAGCCACTCTTTGGTAGATCATTTTTCCATTTAAAAATTTAAACCATATGGTGGAATGGGCAAGAAAGCTCCATCGGAGAGAATTGAAGGTAATTTTGTAAATACCAAAATTTTAGGGTAAAATTATAAATATGGAAGATTTAAGGGGTAATATATATATATTGTTGCGCCTCGAGAATCCAAACTAATCGCCGAGAAAAGATAAACCAACACACCAAATCAATAGCACAAACAATCAAACACCAGTTTTACGTGGTTCGGCAAGATGCCTACGTCCACGGGGCAAGGAGGGGGGAGTTTTCACTATTAGAAATCAAGAGGAACAAACTAGGGTTACAAATCTCTCATAAACCCTCAACAATCAACTCTCAATCTCTCCAATTGCTCCTAGAATAGAAGCCCAAAGAAAACTCTCTCAATCTGCTCAAATTCGTCCTTGCTCATAACCCTAAAAACACCCAAAGGGTATTTATACAAATCCAAAACGAAGCGGGTCTGAAAACAGGCCCAACTCAAAACTGCAGCGGCGGTCGACCGGGCCGGTCGACCACGATCCATCGCGGTCGACCGGGCCGGTCGACCGCCCTCCATCCAGCAGCAAACCCAATGTCCAGAGAGGTCGTCGGTCGACCGACACGGTCGACCGCCCATAGATTCGGTCGACCGGATCGGTCGACCGCCACCAATCCTGAAGCCCAATAACTCCTGTGCACGAATGCGGTCGACCGGGCCGGTCGACCGCCACCCAATTCTGCTGAAACCCGAACTTTCTGCCAATTCTACAAATCTCCACCTCGGCGAAGATTCTACCAAAACTGAGCCGACATCGATCAAACCAATACCTCAACTGTTGCACCCAGTATGCCATGACAACAGACTCATGACAACGGACTCCAATCACAACACGTTGAGATCCAAAACGGGAGTGCGAACACTCAACCCCAAACCAACTGTGTCTACTCACCAAACAACTGAGCCTACACCGACTACACCAAATGCCTCACTTGCTGAGACCGAAATGGGAGTGCGAACACTCACCCCAAATGTCGATGTCGCTCACCAAATCGGCTGCATCATAAAGACTGCCTACGTATCCTCTTGCCCAAGGAATCAAGCCTTCACGTAGTTCACCATATGGGCCTCCAAAGGCCCTCAATCCATCCTGCGGCTGATAGTATCATCAACGACCTCAAACTGAAGTGACCCAAACCCCTCCCCCTGAGATGTAACAATGGCCGTATCAAAAACATATCCACCAGCTGCATCCAAATCAACTACCTCGTCATCTGCACCCATAAATAAATGACTCCCACGCTGTGCCACCTCAGCTGGAATCCCAACCAATGCAGAATGATCTGGAGTATGTGGGAAAATCCCCACCCAATGTGGAGTAGCATCAACCTCCACCTGCTGCGATATCCCTCTGACCTGATCAATACTCTCCACCTGCCGAGAGTCCAAAGTGACAAACCTGCTCAGACCAAACTCAGAAGCTCCCCACTGATAGCCGAACAAGCCTCTGAATCCTAAATGCGCAATCGGATCCAATCTCACATCAGTGATGTGACCAAGTGCTGGGTAGCCCAATATTCGACGCCAACCAAAATCTGAAACAGCTCCACCAGATCTAACAACTCTATACGCAACAGTCGGCAACCTCATAAGATGACCCAAACCTGTCAAAGCCTGAATACCAGATCCACTGCTCGACAACCAATACCGATCCTCCTCCAGAAAAGAACGGCTCACTGAATCCGTCATCTCATCACGTCGCCCCACTGTCTCCTCTCCTCTGAAGTGTCTCCCACTGCCATGAGCTCGGCACCAATGCAAGAAAGGACTCCTACTAGAATAAGTACGACTGGTAACCTTTCTGCACATACACCTCCTCCAACTATTGCGGACTACTAGGGCTTTATACCAACAGGACTTGGTTGCAACCCAAATATGCCTAGTACAATCCCCAACATAGGAAACAAAATAACGATTACCTCCCGATGATGCCTCCTCGGAAAGCCCCCAAATGCCTGACTGAACACTTCCAGTAAGACCCCTCGATCGATGGATAGAAGTGCTGAACTTCACCTCGGTCTTCTCGCTCATACCAATGTGCTCACAGGATTTCAATCTGCAGGTCATAGCACTCCTCAACAATCTGTGCACGGTATAACCAACAATATATCCCAGCACCAAACAATGCCACAGTCTAGCCATAAAAGTAGTCAGCGCCCTATCAACTACCGTGCTCCCAAGCAGATAATACAAGTTACTCCGTCTGACTCCCTTCATCACAATCATGGATCCCGATGTGACCTTCAAGCGAGAATCCGCCAAGGTCACCCTATAGCCTGATGCCTCCAATACCCTAAGTGAAATGATGTTCTTCCTCAGTTGAGGAACGAACCTCACATCAGCCAACTCCGGGATCATCCCGTCACTCATCCGAATCCGAACGGTACCAATACCACCAATAGGGCATCTGTGATCATTACCCATGAGAACAACATCCCCTCTTTCCAACTCCTGAAAGCTGGAGAACCAATCCCTTCTAGGGCATATGTGGTAAGTAGCACCAGAATCCAACATCCACTCGGTGGAGTCGGCAACATCAACTGACGGAAGAGCTGGGCACGAATAGCCCGAAGAATCTGAATCTGAATCTGAAACATCGCCACTAGCCTTGGCAATATTCACCTCTGAAGCTTGAATAGCTTTCCCTTTATTCTTCACAGCTTGCAATTTTGGGCATTCGGCTTTCCAATGTCCATCCTCTCTACAAAAGGCACACTGATTCCTACCAACTGCAGGATGCCCCCTCTAGACTGCGACCTTCTTCCACGGTTTGGACTTCTAGCTCTTGCAACCAATGCACCAGCAACCGGCTCGATGGAAGTCTCCTTGTCCTTCTTTCGAAGTTGATAATTCACAAGGGCTGCGGTGATCTCACTATACGAAAGTGATGCCTTTCCATTAATAAGAGTGAGGACGAAGGTCTCATATTCCTCGTCGGGCAAGGAACTCAATAACAACAATGCCTTGTCATCGTCTTCAACCTTGACATCTACATTCGCCAAATCTGCAAGTAGCTTCGTGTAGTGGTTCATGTGATCACTAATGGATGTCCCCTTCTTCAATTGGAAGCGATAAAGCCTCCTCTTCAAATGCAAACGATTTTCGATGCTCTTCGTCAAATATTTGCCCTCTAGGACCTCCCAAATCTTCTTTGCCGAAGTTTCATTCATCACATCATATTTAAGGTCTTGGGTAAGGCAAGACCTAATCACACCACACGCCGTTCTATTCATTTTATTCCAAACCTTTTCATCAATGTCGGCCGGTTTCCCGTCCAACTCCAATGTATCTTCCAAATTTTGCGCATTTAGCGCATCCATGACTTCGCATCGCCAAAGTCCAAAATTATTTGTGCCGTTGAACTTTTCCACATCTATTTTCATAGAATGTATATTCAAACTTTGGACGGCCTTCACACCAGAAGAACCCTCCCCACTTTTATCTTTTTCAGCCATATATCTCAAAGCACCACCAAACCAATGCGGAAACAAACGAGAAATAGATCCAAATTGAAAAAGACGAGATTTTTACTGAAAAGATCCCACCTTTATCACCAAACGAAGCCCTAGATGAACTTCCAAAGCGATCTACTCCTCCAAAATAGCCCAAGCGTAGCCCGGAGCTCTGATACCAATTGTTGTGCCTCGAGAAACCAAAACAATCGCCAAGAAAGATAAACAACCAACCAAAATCAACAGCACAAACAACCAAACACCAGTTTTACGTGGTTCGGCAAGATGCCTACGTCCACGGGGCAAGGAGGGGGGAGTTTTCACTATTAGAAATCAAGAGGAACAAACTAGGGTTACAAATCTCTCATAAACCCTCAACAATCAACTCTCAATCTCTCCAATTGCTCCTAGAATAGAAGCCCAAAGAAAACTCTCTCAATCTGCTCAAATTCGTCCTTGCTCTTAACCCTAAAAAACACCCAAAGGGTATTTATACAAATCCAAAACGAAACGGGTCTGAAAACAGACCCAACTCAAAACCGCAGCGGCGGTCGACCGGTACGGTCGACCGCGATCCATCGCGGTCGACCGGACCGGTCGACTGCCCTCCATCCAGCAGCAAACCCAATGTCCAGAGAGGTCGTCGGTCGACCGACACGGTCGACCGCCCATAGATTCGGTCGACCGGATCGGTCGACCGCCACCAATCCTGAAGCCCAATAACTCCTGTGCACGAATGCGGTCGACCGGGCCGGTCGACCGCCACCCAATTCTGCTGAAACCCGAACTTTCTGGAAGTATGAGTATGTTTGGTACCAAGCACAAAAAAATATGCTTGCTAGTGAGGTGACAGAATCCCCTCCACTTATTCAAATGGTTGCATATCCTCATGCACTTCTCAACCCATGTGAATGTGGTCCCCCATTTGAATGAATGGAGGAGATTGTGCCACCTCACTATCAAGCACAAAATTTATGTTTGGTACCAAGCATACCCATATTTCTCTCTCTCTCTCTCTCTCTATATATATATATATATATATATATATATATATATATATATATATATGAGAAAAA